GCCCTGCACGACTGATCGTCCAGTTAACTTCTGTACCCGTAATTCTCTTATCCTTGAAATCATCCAAATTTAACATGGACTATTTGAAAGCAACATTCCCCAAGAGCGTTTTATCTGTTGTAATCATATTTGCTAGAACATTTTACTCAAGTAGATGATTTGGAGTAATGGACCGATATTGATTAGGCCCTTTTACCATTCGTTCACTGACATCCATGTTCCAGAAATGCACGAAATAAACTGTAGGCAGGAGCAGAGCTTATTGGGTCCTCCTGCTTCAATTATTCATGATGATGGCAAAGAGGATTTAAAGTCGACTCAGAGAGAGGGGAATATTGAAAGGGGGTGAGAAATCTTGAGGGATTTAGAATTGCAAAGTACCCAGAGTACCGCGTCTTTATTCTGTTTGACAACTTGGGTAAGTTGATTGATTCGCAGACATCTTGATGTGCTACAGTATCTACTGCCTTCTGTCGATAATCTGGCTATAATTGTGAAGAAATAACATCAGTGTATCATGTTATGGCTATTAAATAAGATTGGATGATATTTTATTTTTCATCTTTGAACAGAGATTTATTGTCTTGGATCAGGGTATCACAGTGGTCTTTGCTTTTACTTGTGATGTATTGACTAGCTTGAAGAAGATGTAAACTAAACAAGAAATTACCCAGGCTAGATGTATTACTTCAAATTGACATATTGTTGGGGTCCACATACAGAGTGGGAAAAAATGTGGGATCTAGAATCCAATTTACAATCCATAATTATCCTCTCATGAAGTGGATCAGACTTGTACAGTATATTTGTATATCTACTAGTATACTAGTATCCAATTTTCTGGGTACAACTATTGTGTGGTAACATCACTGCCTTAATTTTGACCATATATTTCAGATCTTTTATTTTTCAATAGTGAGGAATGCCATGAAAGTATAGGTGCAGTTGAACAAAAAAGTAGTCGGAAACTCAAATAAAAATTTGAAGATGAAGTGCATGATAAAATTTACGTTTGTAGTGATCAAGAGCAGGGCTGTAGCTAGCAATTTCACAAGAGGGAGGTGAGGGAGCTCTTTCTTTGAAAGAATGGGCTTTTTTAGCCTCTTAGTTGACCCAACTTTAAAAATGAAATAGAACCTGCTAGTAGATCAAATTTGTATTCAGAGTGGACCTGTTCTGCCCAAAAAGGCAATTCTTTTGAACCCCCTTCCCCCCCCCCCCCAACTCCCTGCTGGGACCAATATTGGTGTGAGTGAGAGTGACGTGAGACAGACAGGGAATCATACAGTCATGCAACTTCTCATGAAATATCATTGTCTCATGTCTCTGACAATACACATGTAATCATAAACCATTCAGTGATTGGATGGAGACCACAATTATACAGACTCTTTTAGTGCAAGTAAACACAGCAAGTTCATTTCTTGACTTCAACCTGCGCACGCAGTGACTTAAACATTTTCTACTCAAAATTAGGTTTTTAATTAGAAAACATACAAATTTTGGTTGTATGTATAATGTCAAATGTTAAAATACACTGGCTGCTACTCTTTTGCCTGTTATCCACAACAGCTTCGATCACTAATGTGTATATTGGGCTGGTGAGCAGTAGAATTGTTCAGTTCATACGATTCATGTGAGAAACGCTTTCTTTGCCATGGGCAGTCAGATCTCTCTAATGTTATTGAGCTCACCGGCAGATGATTTGATTGTCTACGTCTTCATTAACTGGCATATAGTGGCATCACCCATGTAAATATAGTGGTAAATATTGGCAACTCGGTATCAAGATTACACACAGCTGCGGTTGTACATGTAATCTAGGGGGAAGGAGCTAGGGCAGGTATTCCAGTCGGTGGGATGTAGTTCACAGCATGATGCCATGCAATCTGATTACTGCAGCATACACCTGATCTGAAGAGTATGCAAGACTCGATTGCTATCCATCAGTACCTCCCATTCTCCTCCCCCTCCTACCATTTTCAATTAGATGCACATCTGCTTATGTCGTTTGATATTTTCCATTGTCTGGAAAAAAAAGAGTATATATATAGAGCAAATATACAGGTACATTGAATCTGAGTTGACAATGATTTATTTTCCCTTTTCACGTGAGAGAGTTTGGTATTGATTTTGTATCTGTTAGATAGTGGCATGTTTGTCTCCAATTACTGGCGCCAGAATGATTTCGATTAATTTTGCATTCTTCGTCAAATTTTTTTTGTTCTTTGTTTATGAGGGAAAAGTATAGTGTTCACATTATCTGTACAAATTCAATGTCATTTTGCACTTAAAACTGATAATTTTGTTATGAAATGTAATAAAGAAAAGGCAGAATAATATGTACAGTACATTGTACATACATTGCACATTTTAAAACTTGTACTAAATTAAAAAAGGGTCAACATAATCTGTTAAAATTGATATTCAAAAGAGAGATGCTTAGGTGATAGTCATGTAGTTAAAATTAATTACACATAGTTGTACATGAGTATTAGTAAGTTCAAAATAATTTCAACAGATGTAAGAAAAAATACGACATTGAGTAATTAACACATACATGTACATGTATATAGATGAAATCCTGATTGCTGGCTGCATGTAAGGATGAATTTATGTTTAACTAAATGAAGTTGTTTGTGTAAATCAGTCAAAAATATTTCACATTCGTGGACTTGGTTTAAAAAAATGCAATTTTCAAGTTGTTGCATTAATTTAAATGTATTGTCTACAGTTATTAGAACCATATGCGAGTACTATGGATGAAATATATTTGGAATGTAGGCTAGATAGCATATGTCATCTATAGCTACCTCCAACAAAATTACTAATTTTCTGGGAAAAAAAGAAGAAAAAATGGCATAACATTAGAGCAGTCCATTAGGCAATATATTTAGTTTATTTGACCAGTGACTGTAACTCGACTCCCGTAGTGTACAAATCAATTTCATCAATATTGGTTTTCATGGGAACATCATCATATTATTGCTAATGTAGCCCATCATTTTTGTAAGGAGCTTTATCCTTGAGAGAGAGAGTTATGTAACACAAGAGAGCAGGAAGGAATTTTTATTGGATTTGGGTATTAATAATTCAACCGAAGTTGATTTTGCTACAGATATTTCTCTATAGCTCGGAATTGTCTTTTCTCTAGCGCTTTCCTTTTCAGATCATTGACAAGCACACATCATATTGAAAATGGAAAAATGCCACTTATGTATTCTCGCACTTGATTCAACCTAATCATAGCAGTCATTGGTATTTAATATTTGATGCCTTTAGTTAAGCCAACAGAATACAACAGTGTTGGAAAACATCCATTTCTGCACAATTAACATGATTGCTATGAATGAATAACATGGCCAATTAACTGCAGTAGATTTGTTGGCCTTTGTTCAAACCTGACTGATGAGTAGGCTGTTCTCTTCTGTAGCTGCTCTTTGAACAAAAACTGTTGAAAATGTGATCTGGTTTGGCTGTAATAACCTCCCCCTTTGAGAGCTGAAGACGTGATGGCATATATAGCAGAATTGATCCGTGGTATATATGGCTCTGATATCTTTGTTCTCTTTTACACCCAGCAGGAGAATTAAGTCACACAGAAAACACATTCTCACAGATAATTGATTGGAAGATACTATTTTAACTATGGGTAGTATTTTAAATAAATTCTTTCCATTGCAAGAATATTGATTTAAAAAAAATGATCTAAGACTACTGTGCTTATTGATTCAAAAGTTGAATAATGATGAGATAATCACAGGGCACTGGGCCACACCCGTTAGATGTCAGAGGGATCTGGACCACTCCCCTTGTACCACAGGGATCTGGACCACTCCCCTTGTACCACATGGATCTGGACCACTTTCCTTTGGCCACAGGGATCTGGACCACGCCCCACTGACCACAGGGATCTGGACCACTCTCTATAGACCACAGGGATCTGGACCATGCCCCATTGACCACAGGGATCTGGACCACGCCCTTTTGACCACAGGGATCTGGACCACTTCTTTGACCAAAAGGATCTGGACCAATTCTTCGCAGGGACCTGTCTTATCAGCAGAATAGAACTAAAGTTCTTTGGTTTTTATATCAACCATGACATTTACTGCACTTGACATCTTTATAATAACATGCTGACTGTGTATGATGCCACTGTGAGAAAAAGTTAAAAAATGATATTGTCGCCCAGGTACAGATTTATGGTAAATCATTCATTGGTATTGTGTTGTACTTGGATATAGAAGACAGGATAATAAATTGTCACTGGCAGACCTAATACATTGACATTTTAAATGTCAGGTCCCTACAATGAATCCCAATCATTTTGTGCAGGAGATTAGAAACCCCATACTAGTGTGTATAATAATTAAGGAGAGAGAGAGACTCGGAGAGAGAAAAAGGAAAAGGATAGGATGGGAAGAGAGAGAGAGGGAGGGGGATTAAGTTCTTATATTCATAAAGAGAAAGATCTTGGTTATCTTCGGTTTCTTAACATCAAACTTGTACCTGGATATCCAGCAGTGCGCATCTTGTTTTCTCCACAGGTGACCTTGTGTATCCAGTGTCTTGACCCCGCGTTTGATGACATTTGATCTTTGAATTGTTTTCTTTTCATCAAGAAGCCAAGTTGATTGATGTTGGGATCTTCGGAAGATGATGTCATACTTATTGAGTAAAATCATTGGAATGTTGCCAAATTATTGTTTTAGGGTATATTTGTACATTATACATAAAATGCATGTTGCATATTTTTTCTTATGACAAGCAGTTTGCTGAAAATAAGCAGCAGTGAAATACTGTAGATTTTTCTGTTTATATATGTTTTAGACTATATTATTGTATATACAAATTTGGAGTATTTCGTAGGAAATCCTAATTCTAGAAGTGCTGTAAACCAGATAATGTGGATGAATCCCCATGTCATCGGCACCACTGCACTTAGATCATGTTTAACATGGTGAGATCTGTAACAGTATGTTTATGTCTGCTTGCAGTGCACCCCTGGGCTCGGTATGAACAAGATGTACGAGTTACTCTATAACCAGCCGCCTAAGATTATGCTGATTACTGGTTGCAGCGGGGTGTCAACATTTGTGGCACAGGCAGCTAAGATGTGGAACCTGGTGGTGGTAAGTTGGCACAATTTGACTGTCACAACTAACACAATTCACTACTAACACAATTCACAACTAAAATTCACAACTAACACAATTCACTACTAACACAATGGCACAATCCATGTCAGCAGTAGCACAATCAGCTGTAAGCGGGAACCATTCTTTGCTACCTCTTTAACCAAACCTCATTTAAAGACACTTATTATGAGTAGCACATTTTATGTCAGTTTAAAGATAACTATCATGTACATGTATGCGTAATGCAGGTAGAAAATCCAAGACAAACGACTGCATTGCAGCATGCACAGCACGAATCTTTGCTTTTGCAGGAAATGCAGGACAGAGCACTGCTAATATTTTTGTAGGGGGTCTTGTTTACTGACTAACTCTAGCAAAGAGTTTATTTCAATTTAAAAGCAAATCTTACTTTATTTTGGAACTAGTAAAATTTATTATGCTAGTGGCTTGTGAAAGAGGCCATTTGCTTATGATTTAGAGAATGATTTTAGTGGCTTGCAATAGTTTACACTTTATTGTAGCAGAGCAAGATTTTGGATTTCAAAGAGTTTCTTCTTCTGGTAGTACGTCCAACAGAAGTTATTGGCATATTTTTATGTAGTAAACCTACACAAAGTATTTAGTTGCTATAATAAGAAAACAACAAAAGTTACAGCAGCTATGATAGTAAAATTGAAGCCATTCCAACATGGCATTTCATTTGTGGTAAAACTTCACACATGTTCTGTATATAATGCATACAATACTAGCAGTAAAACTGCTGCGGTTAACTCTGCTCTTTACCACAAACAACATCAGTCTTAATTTTCTCACCATGGGGAGTGTGCGTTTCATACACAAAGTGTTGAAATTTGATTTAGGAAAACTGCTCTTTGTGGCATAATCCTCCTGGGGCTGCTATATTTACACCTGCCACCAGGTATGTTGATTGTGACCAGGTGCAGACAGGCTGATAGAGCTGGTGATTTTAGCTTCTTCGTCTACCTGTGTTTTGCTTTGATTAATTGTGTCAACAGGTTACTATAGGAGATGCTAGGATCTACCAGAGTCACAGAAAATTTTTTCACTGTAGATATTTCATCAGCTATTTCTCTGCAATTTTCTGCACAAAGAATTTAGAGAAAAAAGAAAAATAAAAACTCTGGTTTGCTACCAGGACTTGTGGCCAAGAAAGATGCACTTTCATTATTATCTTAAGTCACAGAGGATACATTTGTTATCAAAATGAAGTGAATTCTGCATATGTTTATCATTACATGACTTAGATATGCAGTGGAAAATTAAGTCACTTTTCCTTCACTTGTATTGAAAGTTAAAATTGCAGTTCATGCCCACATGGAGTCTTAAATTAATAAAAGGATGGTAGAGATGTTAGAAATTTATGAAAAAGAAAGATTTGAAAAACTTAGTTTTTTAAATAAATGATTAAAGTGAAGGTGACTCTGGTCATCAAAGGAGAAGTATTGTGATTTTTATGAAACCAATAGCATGGAGTGTTAAGTGCCAAGGACTCTCCCTCTTTGTCTTCAGTTATTCATCTAACCATTTCAAATTGTTGAAATGAAATTTTGAACTTTAAAATTGTCAGATATCTAAATCTCAGGGTGTTTGACATTGTTTATTAAAAATGAATGTATTACTCTAACACTCGGATGAGCTGGCAGCTATAAATGCTCCTCGATCGTATTATGTGATAAGATACAGCTGAAGAACATACTGTATGAGGATTGAATTTAATGCAGTTGGCTTCATAGTTGGTATAATTTTAATGCATACTAATGGCATTAGGTGTGAAATGAACACATGATTCATCTCAGTATATGTCAGGGATTATTAAGGCTAACTGTAGATTAATGCAGTTCACATCACTTCCCTTGATTTCTGATTTTTTTGAGAAATTTTACAGATAACATTTTCGTATGTGTCATAGAAATTGATAACTCCATGGACGTTTGTCTATGTGATTATGGAAATCTTTCCTCCTCACAGTCAGAAAAATTCTGCTATCCCAACGGAATTTGCTAAATGTTTTTTTTTTTTTTTTGAAAAATGGTTCAACAATCTACATTCTGTTGAAATTTGGGCATAATTGACCATAGAGCCTTGAAAAGACTTAGAATTGTCTGTCATATGATATTATTATTATCAGTAACTGTGTTGTGCGCTGCATTTTGATAAACAATTTGGGAACTATAATGTTGACAGTGTAAAATGTTGATAACATTTTCATGCTTTTTTCTAAATTGATTGATTGATTGATTGGTAAATTCTGATACACAGGATATTGTAAAGATGTATCTTACCTTATCATTTAGTTATATCTGCCATGGTCATTATATGGCTTAGACATCCTTAGTGTCAATTTTTTATCCAAAAACTATATATATATATATATATATATATATATATATATATATATATATATATATATATATATATATATATATATGATATTGAAAGTAAATGCCAATATATGCTATATTCTAATATGTCTATAATCTATTGGTCCTTATATAATGAGTACTAGTACATCCAAGATGTTTGTTTTTTTAATGAAAATTTTTGTGTCCAAATGGCAAAACATAAAAAATAAATAAATAATTAAAATTTAAAAATATTTAGAAAATAAAAAAAAGGAAACTGGCCCACTTGAATGCTTGTTGCATAATCCCTGTAAGGAATCTGTCAATGTTTAATCGGGAATTAAGCGGCAATCTTTTGAGTGGGTAGTCATATTTGATCCCCAGACAGACATGCTGAAACTGTCGGTCCGATTGGTCATGACCAGCAAAATTTGTCTGGACCAGTAAAAAATTGGATTTAGTCAGTCCAAAGGACTGACAAGAGTTTAAGAGCCGCAATTTTGAATTCACAGCCATCATTTCACAGACTTTACTAATAAAATTATATAAGACCCAAAGCGTTTTCCCTTCTGTTTCAAACCTATCACATTCACAAATAAAGTAAGCTACCCTAATATTACTGGTAGTATCTGTCTCAAAGGAATAGGGTGATTTTTGGTCCGACAAAAATCCATTTGGTCCAGTAAATTTTTCATTACTGCTGGTCCAAATGTCCAACCATTCCGAATAGTTTTCAGCATGTCTGCCCAGATCTGTTAGTTCTCTGTTCTGAATGCGCTCATAGAAAAATTTATGTGATCCTGTACAGTGCTGACCTCTGGTGGAGAGCAGAAGAGTAAAGTCTCTCTCGGTTGAATTATTTATGAATTGTGTAAGTTATTGTCATCTGGTAATTCCAGTGTCACATCCCTGGTGTTGTTGCTACGGAGATTGACAGCTAGTTGAAGCGATGCATAGCACTTTTTGTGACAGGATAATATGCTGCCGTAAAAGACCGTGGTTTGAGATGAATGCAAAGCTGTCACATTGATTTTTTAGGCAACTATTTGTAACCAGCCTCAGATAAAATACAAAACATCAAAAGAGATGAAAGGAAAACACAGAAAAATGCTCTGAGCATGCAAATGCATTAGACTAAATTGAAGCAGCCTGTGTGTTCTTTCATAAAGATAAGCTGCTAATGGATGACACCCTTGTCCCTCAGAGATAGAATATTCCCAGACCTTTTTTTGCTGGTTAATGCCTCTTTTTTTTCTGAAATAATATGTCAAGATTAACAAAATTTTTCCCTTTGTGTCTTTGATTTAAGGCATTTCTGTCACAAAATCATTTGGTATTGTCATGTATTTTCACTGCACTATTTTGTGTTGTATGGTATTGTGTTATGATGCATTGTATATAAAGTAAATTGCAATTAATATTGTGATTGACATTAATTGATCACTAATTGTGGAAACCAGAAGTTGAATTATATATAATTTAGAATAGCGTTGTTGTAGACCCTGGAAAAATGATACACTAGCTGATGTATAGTAACTGATATATAGTGTCTGATGCCATTAGGAAAAAAAAAAAAAAAAACTTGGCTAGGATCAGACAGATCCTGAATTGAAAATGATTTCTTGGATAAGCTGGCACATATAGACTATAATGATTTTGCTTTGATTTAATAAATCTTACATCTGATTTTTTTCTTGGCATTATTCTACTTACTGTGGTGGCCCCCAAGCCATCATTTGTAATGCCCTAGAGACATCTTTCCAACTTTTTAACAACCTAAAATTGTGTCTGCACATGTTCATAGTACAGTAGCAATCTGAAAAAGAATCTTAGAACCGGTTCCCATACCTAGACCGATCTAGCAAGATTGACCCATCTCTGAGGGGTTTCTCACTAAATTGCATTCAGCTAAAGTGACTCTAATGTCTGGCATGCCTACTAAAGCTGTTGGGGGTAATTAACTATCGTTTAACAGCTTGAGTTGGCATGCCAGACATCTAGGCCGCTTTAGCTGAATGCAATTTAGAGAGAATCCCCTCGGAGATGGGTCGATCCTGCTAGACCAATCTAGGTATGGGAATGGGGTCTTAACCACCCTTCCTGCCCTCTTTACCTAGCTCCTGTAGACAAACCCAATGCATTTTCTACACAGATTCTGTGGATCTGTCACTCCTGTTGATTGCAGAGTTTAAGACAACCTCCAGTGACAGCACCATTTGTTAACATTTACCCAGCAACTGTTTGTATCTCTTTTAGTAATTTAAGTCCAATTTAGAGGATGTGATTCAAATAATGGGGATGAATGTTGAGACATGCTACACATATATCAGTATTAAGGCTGTAAAACTATTGGAAAAGCCTGTCAAATGGTGGGTTTGATGTTCTATTAATTCATGACACATTTTTCTTTGCGTGGTTTACTTTGCCTTTGAAGTCTGCAATCAAGCAACTGTCTGTGCAGGCCTGGAAATTGAGGAAATAGTCAATGGGACCAAAGAAATCTGATTTAGAACCTTTTTTAGATGTATGTGGAACACAGTGAACTTTTTTCAAACGTAAGTCGCATTCACAACAGATCATCTGCAGACTAACTGATCTGTGGACTAAAAATGGCCGACCCCACTTAAAAGCAATGCTGCCTAATCCCTTGCTGATCTCCCTGCCTCCACACTCCCCATTCCTGCAGGATCCTAGCAATTAAACTTAGGAGTCGAGATTTAATTTGTTTAATTGCTAGGCCCCTGCAGGGTTGAGTGGAGAGTATGGAGGCTGGGAGACCAGAAGGGTATTAGGCAGCATTGCTTTTAAGTGGGTTGGCCATTTTTGATCTGCGGATCTGTAAGTCGGCAAATCAAGTTGTTCTGAATGAGGCCATAGATATATGTACACTTTGCACATTAAAATTGATACACACAGGCACATTTGCATGTATGAACACACACACACACACATACACACACACACACACACACACACACACACACACATGCACACAACACCTTATAAAACTATGGCACAATATGTGCCAATACAATGAAATGACTCGTCAGCACTTCCCTTCTCTAGCTAGTAATTGACATTTAAAGCAGAAGCTTAGTTGATATATCTGATCTGACACCCCTTGCTTCATTTGAAGCTATGATGTCTATTAAGAACAGAATACGTCTCTTTTAATTTCCTCTTTACTCAGAGCAGGAGAAGTGATCCTGCATTCTTAGAACTTGGGGCCATTGTACATTGACGTTCCCTTGTGTCAAGCTGCAAGTTCTCAGAGATACGTTTCCTCCATTTGACAGATGACAAAGCTGAGATTTAGCTCAGATTCAGAAACCTATGTTCACTAATCTTCTGTGTTTCCAGTTTTTTTGTGAACTGATAATAAGGCTTCCTGTGAGCAGAGGAGGCCATAATGTGAGAAGTTCATTTTCTTAGTCACGGTCTCCCTTTGATGTCATCTGAAAAATTATAGTGTAGGATTCGGCAGCAGATCAAGATGCTGTTGGGGCCTGCAGCAACATCTGTAGACCTGGGCCCTGTAAAGCATAGCGTATGGCGAATAGCGATATCACATAGAGGCTACAAAGTATTACATGGGGTGTGTATAGGTGAATTATGGAATCGAGACGCTTGCGCTCAGTCACAATGCAAAATGCTTTCAAGTTATGGGGCCCAGAACTGATATAACTTGATTATTGGTATTATAATCAGGGCTTTTCCCAGGATTGGGGATATTGGCCATTCAAAATGACCACCTGTAGTTTCCTACAAAAATTCAGGGAGTCCAAGCTGTTTGGTGATGCAGGAGGCTGTTCAAATGACGTCTGGACGGCTCACTGGGAAAATCCTTGATAATAAAATAAAGGAGAGTTTAAACTAGATTATGGGTTGGGGATTATTTTAGGTTCATATATCACGAAAAAAGAGATTGTGGCTTATTTCTTCTTCACTGTACATCACTTCAGTAGCTTCAAGTAAAACAGTGAAGGTCATTATATTCATAACTATATCAATGTCCTCCCAAAAGTCATTGCAATATATGTGCATTGTATTTAATTCCCATATAGATCAGTACATATTATATAATAGGTACTGCATTATTTGCTTTTTTATGATAGAGGCAGATATTTGCCCATGCACACAAATTCTTTTATATAGTTTTTCGTTTTTTCTAGTGTTGGTATATTGTTCACAATATGACACTGAATATAAATGTACACATTATTAATACTGTAACAGTGATGTTGGCAGTAGAGCTGCCAGGAATTAATTGCATTAGTTCATTTTCCCAGAGGCAGATGGCCCTGAACGTATTATCACAATTCATCAGAATCAAACAAATGCCAGCATACAATAATTTGAATTATTATGTAAAAGTCAAATTCCTACATTTTTCCATTATCATAATTCCAGTTTGCCTATGGCACTAGCTCTATTTCATTGTTTTATGATTATTGTTGTAATAAAAAATAATAATAATAATATTAAATAAAACTTATATCTTACATATGGCTCCAGTTCTGTGTTATAGTGTTAATTTTATTATTGTTATAATAATAATAATAATAATATTTACAGCTTGCCTATGGCTCCAGCTCTCCAGCGCTGTCCAACAGGGAGAGGTTTCCGACGTTTTTCCGCACCCATCCCTCAGCGACACTCCACAACCCAACGCGTGTGAAGTTGTTCCAGAAATGGGGCTGGACCCGCATTGCAACCATACAACAGACGGAGGAAGTGTTCACTACGGTGGGTATTATGGAAATGACTGGAGCTTTTCAGAAGGGGAAAATTGTGAATTTAATGCTGACTGTATTTTTAGTCATAATTATATATATATATTATTTTTAACCAGAACATTCCTATTGAGTGGTAGAAACAAAATTGAAAAGCATGCTGCTCTTTAATTCTATTCTATATATTAAAAGTGCTGTATTGAAGTATAATTTTTTAATGATTCCAAAATTATGCATCTGAACAATTAAAAATCTTCCACATTGAAAGGATTAAGACATCAACTTATGCTGAAAGGTTGTGATAACAGATTATTCTCTTGTTGATCTTCCTATTTTCTTTTAATTGATCCTCAAAACGTGTTTCTGTGTTTTTAAAATAAAGAAATGCATGAAACCTCATGGCTATATGGCCAAGTAAAGAAAATGGTGATTTTAAAAACCTGTACGTTTGCCTGACATTTCTGACTTTGGTTGAGATTGCTGAAAAATAACTTTTAATGGCATATTAATGATTCTTTTGCAAGGAATTTTTTTAGCCAGCATAGATAGCTTAGAATGGTGTATTCATGATTTATTGTATAAAATTTATAGTGCAAAAGTAAAACATACACTCTGTGAAATTAGCTGACTTCTATGATTCCTAGGCTCATCAAGCAGAGAGGAAAAGATTGTCATGCTAAGAATTCTGATGCCTGATTAGCTATATAGCTGGTTAGAGTTTGCATGATGATATTAGTGTATGTCTCCACTGCCACATGCATGTAGCATACTGAGAGATGACACAGGCTCCGTTAAAAAATTTACTTAAAGAGAATTTCAAACTAACCTGTTTAGGTATCTATCAGAAACTGAAAAGGGGATTTTTTGTCCACTTTTTTAAGAACTGTTACAAAATGGTGTCTGCATACTCAGTAAAGTTCACTTCTGAGATAGCAGTAATTTTGTTTATTAAATTCATTGAGCAGCAAATTTGTTTGATAAGTTACAAGAAAAACACTTAAAGTGTGCAGACCTTTTCCAAGTCAGCTCAATATTTATTATTGATTAATAGATAAATTAATTGATTAATTAATTAACCACAGCAAAATCTTTTGGGTTAAACATATGTAAGTTAGCCTATCTGACTTAGCCTAAAATTTTTATCATAATCTGTCTACAGATTTTTTAGTCAGTCTGTTAACAAATAAAAACCAAAACAAAGGCAAAAGTGGAGGCAATAAGATCGGAAAAGAGAACTACCAGTCTTCAAAATGAAATTGTCTGACTGTAAAGTTCAGTTAAGTTGAATGAAGCCAAACTCATTAACTTAGTTGGTGGTTAAGGGATTGCATGTAGATGACATAAAAAAACAAGTTTATAGATAATTATGCAGTACACTGATTGATTGTTTGTTCGAAAGTAGATGATAGCCTCATGAGTGTCTATGTTGAAATACACTTCAAGATCTTAGTTTTCTTTTTTTCTTGCAAACTTTAACTTTTACTCACTTGAGAGATTTCAGTTTTTATTGGACAACTTCATCAATCTCCGGTGAGTTAAAGGTTAGGTTTGTAAAAAGATAAGGTCTTATACTGTTATTAAAATTGCTGGCACTAATGAGAAATTCTCAGAGGAATATGTATGTTTTCTTTGTGCTGAAGCAACTTTTATTCATAGTGGAACAACTTCTCTTTGCATTAAGGCAGTTGCGTTTAAAACCATTACTTAAATTAGGAAAACATTTAAGATGGCAAATGTGTTTACTTGATATTTATCCAAGAACAGTGTTTAGTCATTAAAACATTTTTTCTACTTCAATCTTAATTTGGTTTTTAAAGGATCTCTGCGTAGAAGTGAAAGTTATCCCACACATTGCTGAATCATTCTTTGGGCTGACTCTATAATAATTATTGTTATTTTCTTCATCTGCTAAATTTTCTTTTGTGTGTCTGTGTATCTGTCATGGAAGGAAAGCATGCTTGAGTGTAGGCATAAGATCATTTAATGATTTTTCCTGGAAAGTTCAACAATTTTCCGTTTAACACCAACTTTTAATATATCTAATTCAAATCTGCTGAAATAACAAGGTTTTGTATATCTCATAAACGCCTTTTTGGGGTGTAGATTTCTATTTTCAGAGTGCCACTAGTTCATGTAGGTGTGACATCCAATAATTCAAAACATTATAAGCATTATTAGCTCTAGAATGGGAATCTGGTTATAATTCACTAATTTAATATGAATAAACTAAAGTAAAATAGGGTTAGTTTTAAATATAATCACCCTGTTTTAAATGTAATCAGTTGTTTGCATTATGGATACACTGGTGTCATGGAAGGTTTACTCTGTTTCTAACCATGCCTTTATAGTCAAACGCTCATTGTATGTCTTTAATTTTTTCTCGTCTTTGTTTGTTATTCTGGTATAATGATTTGCCTATTTGTCTGTCTGTATGAATGTAATGAATTTTGTTGCCTCTTCTTTTTCCCCAACATACATGTATAATAACCATGTTTTCTTTATTCTACTCAACACCAGGAGGAGTGTTAGACCCCATTTCCATAGATTTTAGATAGATCTATCCCTGTGGGGAGTCTCACTAGATTACTGTCAGCTTAGCCGTCTTAAGCGTCTGCTCCGCCTACCAAAAGCTGTAAAGGGGTAATTAACTATGGTGCGCGCTTGGCTGACTGCAATTTAGCGTGAACCCCCAGGGAATTAGGTCGATCTAAATCTCTGGGAATACACCTTTAGTCCGTTAATCTGATTGCATTTGGCCAGAGCACCTGTGGAGTTAGTTTGCATTAGTATGGTCAACAAAATTCATTGTGAACAGTCTCCATGAAACTTCATGCATCACTCTCTTAGTTCTTACTGTATAGTAAGAAAATGAACTAATCCTGTTGTGGCTCCAGTAAAGGAAATGCATGTTATCCAGTTCATATTCAGACCCTTTCAATTTATTAATTCTTTTCAGACTGTGAAAGATTTGGAGGAAAGGGCCAGAAAAGCTGGAATAGAGATAGCCATCCGGCAAGACTTCCTTACCAACCCAGCCGTTGCTGTTAGAAATTTGAAGGTAAATTACAACACTGAAAGTACAGAGAGAATAATGCAGAGAGATCAAAGGATGAAATTTAAGTTTGAAAAAGATGAAAGAGTACTGGAAAGATAAAAGGGAGACCATATTTATTAATCACCAACCTTGGGCTCTGTTCACAATCAAGTTGAGTGGACCTGACTGAGCTGCGGCTCAAATATGGTGCGACCCACTTGAAAACATGCCACATAATCGCTGCAGGGAGAAATCATTATGCAGCATGCACAGCATGTTTCAAGTGCACGGCCCAGTTAGGTTGCAGCTCAACTTGGTTGTGAACAGAGCCTTACTTCAGCAGCAAAAGCAAACTGACAAAAGAGACATTGTGTCTTCTGTGTGTTCTGTGGTAAGTTAGGGTTCTCAGGGTGATCTGTCAGCTTGCCAGAGGTATACACAAGGTGGCTTCACCAGATAATGACAATAATTCCAGTAATCAGACTTGTTTTCACAGTGACATTTTTGGTCTGATGACTTTTTAAAAAACCAATTCATTTAGGAAATAGTTATTTTTTCCTGGGAGAGTCGCAGTGGTTAGTGAGATTGATGAGGAAATTAGAGCCACTGTGTAATGAAGGGAGCTGAATTCCCACTTGGTGTTTGGAGGATCTTGCTGTGACTAACAAACTGTCAGCATAAAACTTTCTTATTTCTTTCTGATTCATTTCAGAATCAAGCTTGATGTGAGAAAAGACACAGTATTATTATTGTTTTTACAGATTTCAGGCCTGTAGCCAGAGGGGGGGAGGGGGGGGGGGTAGAACAAACCATCCTTTTTGACAGAAAATGGTCTTTTCTGGGTAAAATTTGATATAGGTACCCCAAAGTTTCATGGTAAAAGGCCCACTTATCTTGAACCCCCTCCCCTTTGAAGTGTCTGTCCGAGGGCCTGGATTTTGACTGGGTCCACTCCCTCCCCTGGCTGGTCTTGTGTATTATAACCAGCCACTGCCTTGCAATAGTGATAAGCATTGTCCCTAAATCTATTTATGCCTGATTCAGTATTTCTTCCTTTCCCTTAAAAGTTTTAAATGTCTTACGTGCTTAGGGTGCACTTAAAATTGACAGTCATCGCAGAATAGATGATTCAACAATGCTGAAAGCTATTGATCATTTCCCTCACATGTTACTTTGCTGTGCAATTGAATTTTTTTGGGGAGCTTGATGCCATTTGTTTTCCCACTCTACGGGCTTATTTCAAAACCAGTCAATTTTATTTTGTAACAGGCTTCAGTTTAAGCAACTTAAAGGTATTCTTTAATCTCAATTGAATCTATATTGTGCTTTGTTATGTTTATTTCAGAAACAGGACCCACGAATAATTGTTGGAGTGTTCTATGAAAATATGGCCAGGAGAGTGTTTTGCGAGGTAAAGATCACACAACAGTTGTTTAATTCTCGATGTTTGCCCACATTTCTCTACCTTGCTCGCTTTAAGATAATTTTTGAAAAAAATCATTTTTGTATCTTGTACAGCTACATCCGTAGTGCTGTCATTGAAATATTTTATAGTTATTTCTATTATTATCATTTAAGGTCTACAAAGAAAAACTCTATGGTAAGAAGTATGTGTGGTTTCTAATTGGTTGGTACCCAGATAAGTGGTATCTGAAGCCAGACCCCAATGTGAATTGTACAGCTGAGCAACTGCGAGAGGCCTTGGAGGGACATTTCACAACAGAAGCCATGATGCTGAATCAGAACAAAACTGTTGTCAGTGATGCTGGAATTGTGAGTAGTCAATGAGTGTGTTTGATGTGACATCAGAAGGATTGTGCCATCAGAAGTAGAATGTGTTAGGTGTGACGTCAGTGTGTCAGCTGCTTCATTTTAGTTTTCAGTGTGCAAAGTGTTTCAAAATAAAAAGTGAGGTTAAACTTTGACAAATTTTGAAAGTCCAATTGAATAATCCAGTTGAAAACAACTGTAACATTTTATCCTTTGTCTATTTCTATTGAAATTGTTCTAGATGTATTATTTAATTATTTATTTCCTGATATCATCTTCAGAATTCAATTGATATTTTACAGAGAATCAAAGTTATCTAAACAAGGTTTGTAAAATGAGATATTTTCACGAAGGATTATGAATTTGACTTAAGATTGTTGAAGTTTAGCTGGTGCACTGTTGTTTCAGACAGCTCAAGAGTTTGAAGACGAGCTGAAAAAGAGGATTGGAAAGGCTCCCTCTGACACAGAGGGTTATCCAGAGGCTCCCCTGGCTTATGACGCCATTTGGGCACTGGCTTTTGCCTTTAATAAGACAATACCAAGGTAACACATGGAACACACACGCATACATGCATGCATGCACGCACACACACACACACACACACACACACACACACACACATGTGTGAATACACCCACACGCACGCGTGCGTACACACGCACACACACACAGGTGCTGTTGGCTTATGATTTCAGGTGCATGCATGCACATACACATGTACTCACTTGTTTCCTTTGATTATAGAGCCTTGAATAGATAGTTACAATACTTGACTCTTTTCCAAAAGATCACAATCCTTTGATCAGCTACAGCATCATGTGCTTTTATAGCTTAATATTAAAAGTCACTTGACTACATATTCATTGCAACTTGAAATAGATGTTATCATTCACTATTTCAAGAAAGTAAATAGATACTATTTAATGACATTATATATAGCAAATAATATATTTATTCAACGTACCTGGTATGATAGTAAAAATCTGTCTGATGTTTAATCTTCAATTTTGAAACAAAAAATGTGTTTCCTAACATTTTGGACAGTCAGCGAATGGTTTTGTTCATCATAATGTCCATAGGCAACCAGTAGGTGGCAGCACAATATATGCTGATGTTGTTTGTTATCCAGGCTTGCTGCAAAGGGTCTGAAACTTGAAGATTTTGAGTATTCAAAAAGAGAAATAATGGAAGAGATTTACAATGCCATGAACTCTACTAACTTTCTTGGAGTCTCGGTAAGTGGAAGAATGAATGCTGGTTGTTGTTTTCCAAAATCAACTTTGTACAGTACATTTCACAGGAACAAGTACTAGCTGTTGTTGGCTGACTTTCAGATGATGAGTACATTTTCACGTAACAACTTGTCTATGGCCCAAGCATTAAGGGACTTAGTCTAATAGATTGTATTAGCTAGTTGTTTCATCATCAATGCTGAAAGAAAATTTGCAACAAATTGTTTTTCTTTTCAAGTATCACTTCAGTGTACATAAAATCGTATCATGAATAATATCAGTAGCAGTGATTGGTTTTGTGGGGTAATCAGCTGTTTTACTGTCCTTTAACCAATGTGAACATTCCATTCCAGGGTCCAGTCTCTTTCACCTCTGAAGGTGACCGAATAGCATGGGTCCAGATAGAACAGATGGTTGGTACGTAAAACAGGCTACAGAATTAGATGAAATTATGTATGAAAGAGCTTGAATTTCAAAATCGAACATAACTGGATAAAGTTTAAATTTCTTAAATTTGAACTCTCACCTGGTATTGACCTGTGCACAAAGCCCATTGTATTCTCCCTTGCAGGTGGTATCTACAATAAGACTGGTTTCTATGATTATGTAGCAGACAAGCTGATCTGGTACAATATCGAACAATGGATTGGTGAGTCACAACTTTTGATTTCATGGCTGACATATGGACAAAAATTAGGAAAGGGACATTTTAGGGATATTTCTTGTCTTAATATTTAAAGAATCCTTATTCATTGTAACTTTATGTTCACATATCATAAAATGTAAGAAACCAGGTAAATAAGTTAAAGACAATGGATGCGGTGTTGTGCATTTAAAAAAATACCTCCACGTTTTTATATATATATTTTTTTTATACTAAAGGACGGGCATAGTTGACATTTGGCACTGACTTTGCTGTTAGGCCTAATGTATTATTGCATCATAATAACCTTTTATGTGCATCATTATTTTCTGCTTTTTGTCTGTACATTTCTGTCCATTTGACAGCTTTGCTGACTTATTTTCAAAACTTTCAGATGGCCAGCCTCCTGCAGACAGGACACTATTGGAGCCCACACTCAGAGTGCTGTCAGTGGGGACGTATATCGCCATATCAGTGTTTGCTGCACTGGGGATCCTCGTGGGCGTCGGCTGCCTGCTGTTCAACTATAAACACAGACATCGTAGGTATGTGCACATGTAGAGCATTTAGAATGAAACTGAAAATCAAAAACAAGCAAAGACAAGCAGAAGGAAGCAAAAGAAGAATATTTGATGACTTTTTTATTCTCTCTCTCAGTACCACAGTAACTGTTATCAGTCTCGTTTTTCAAATGCTCTAGTGGAAATTATTTAAAAGTCTCTGTGTGAGTTTTTGCGCTGTAATGAGTAATTCACCTATTGTCCACCAGATGGCATTGGTGTCCTGTTTTCTCCATTAGTTGCTGTGTCTTTCAGGTTGATCCGTATGTCCCACCCAGACGTGAACAACATCACTGTGATAGGCTGTATGATCTGCCTGTTTTGTGTCTTCCTACAAGGACTGGACGGACAGTTTATTCCACCTGAGGTTTTCCCTCAGATGTGCCAGGTAGGGATAATACTTTTTTATACTGGAAGGATGCATTCATATACTCAATATACTTAATATGTAGCCTGAAACATGTAAGTTAAATTAGTCACAAAATCTTGTATTTGGAATCGATATAGGACCAGTTTATCTCACATGTAAAACAGAGCAACAAAAGTACTTTTCAGTCTCTATAATACTATTTTAGCTGTGATCCTCTTGTCTGCAGGCTCTGCTGGAAGTTATCTTAGAGCTTCACCTTTGTTATAGGCCCATGAGCCACTGACTAAGCAAATTAGTCAGCAAAATGCTTTTTTACACTGGAACTGCGGTCAGTCTATAATAACTTGGCTAAAGAATTGTTGAATCTTCTTTATCCCCAGGCCAGACTGTGGCTACTGTCTATTGGCTTCCTTCTCGGCTATGGCTCCATGTTCTCCAAGATCTCTGCAGTTCACAGGTGGACCACCAGGGGGAAGAAAGAGGGAGAGGTGAGGACACTTTGTCCTTGACACATCACTTAATTGACATATCACTTTGTCACTAACAAACTGGTTTATGACACATGTTACACACATCTCCAAATGATTTAATTCTTTTCTTCTTATCCTTATTTGATAGCTCAGTGTGTCTCAAAACAGTGCTGTAGTATATAATGAGAAACTTTGAAGGCTTTATTTTATTAATTTGAACAACGTTTTTGACTTTACAAAACATAGATTGATATATTGGTACATTATCTGACCTTTTCAGTTCATGATAATCTCTTTCAAACAAATTATTTTAAAATTTGAATAATCTAAGATGATGTATGTACACATATAATTTAACATGTTTCAGTTAATGAAGGAGTGGGAGCTCCACATTGTCCTCATCGTCATCCTGGTTCTGGACCTGGCTGCTCTCACTGTGTGGCAGGTGCTGGATCCTCTGTACAGAGAGCTGGAAGATTTCCCCCAGGAAGACCCTCCAGATATCCACAAAGATGTGAAGATATTGCCACAGCTGGAGCACTGTGAATCACACCACTTTATGATATGGATAGGTAGGATGTGATGTAAGGTGTGATTGGGTTAGGTGTGACAATGTGTTTGTTGTTACAGTGTGTTAGATGTGACAATGTGCAAGCTTTGATAATGTGTTAAGTATAAGGTATGACAATGTGTTTTGTGTTTGCGGTGACAGAGTGTTAGGTTTGACAGTTTGTTGGGGGTGATATTTTTTAGGTGTGACACTGTGTTCATTACATATGTATGTTGTACTAAGTGTGTGTGTGGAGACTGCATTGAGATAGGCTGTGTTGGTAGTGTGTTAAGGCAATTCTTAAACCCTGAATTTACTACATGTAAGAGTATAGATATAGATATCAGACAAAGGAACAGATATTGAATGACCATCAGTATTTTCTTCTTTTGATATTTTGCACTTCAGTATAAGGCGGTTTTTTTTTTTGCTTTTTCAGGTGTTGTGTTTGGATACAAGGGCCTTCTACTTTTATTTGGACTGTTTCTTGCCTATGAAACGAGGAGTATAAAGATGAAACAAGTGAATGACTCCCGCTTTATTGGAATGAGTATCTATAATGTTGTGGTGGGTAGACGCACTTCTCATTGAAATATTGCCTTAATTCCATTTCTCAATCTGATTTTTATTCATTACAACTAGCAGGCTATAAGAAATTTTAAAATGTTAAGTGAAGTTTTTAACATTTCTGAACAGGGTTTGCTGCTTTTACAGATAATGACTTTTTAACACATGTGTTTTCATGATAACACATGAAATTCATATATTTGATAAAAGTTTGCTGTATTTGACTTAAGCTCAAGTATTTGTATTCACATTTACATGTATGCAGTGTTCTGACTGTCAACATGTGTAGACTGCTAATGTGTGGTTAACAGAATTAACAAAAAAAAAAAAAAGAAAAAAATGGAATTTTTATTAACCATATTTTTAGAAACTATATTGTTATCTGTATACTTAATACAATCATTCAAGCAATCTGATTTCTGTTATATGTGAATTTTAATTTGTATATTAGTGGCTGAATAAACTCTTTATCCTATCTAGGTGGTCAGTCTAATCACAGGTCCAGTGACACTTGTCATACGCAGCCAGCCTGATGCCAGCTTTGCCTTTGTCTCCATAGCAATCATATTGTGTTCTTTTCTCTCCATGGGGCTGATTTTTGTACCAAAGGTGAGCTTGGTTTTAAGGTGATTTCACTGAGAGAACATCGTTGGATATCTGATTGTTTTAATTTGTGATGTTACTGTATATGGCATATGCAATGAAATTATCTACATGTACATGTGAAGTTCTTTACTGGTGGAAGTAACTTTAACAATTATCTGTTTTATATTAACTTTAACTGCCAGTTTATTGGACTGTTTCACTTGACAATTCATATATATTTGTTAAGTTTTACCACCAGAAAGTCAAATTAATTTTGCATTTTTTAAAGATTTCTTAACCTCATTCTCCATTTCAGTTTGACAATGATCTTTATGAATTTTTTACTTAAAATTTGTATTTCTTTTAATTCTCAAGGGCCCATGTGGAGAATGTTGCAAAAAAGTACAAAATTTTCTATGATGTGAATACTTTCTAAACATTCCGTTCAAAAGTCAGTCCAGCTTCTGTCACTTCTGTCAATTTTTCAAAACATTTTGCAGATTATAGAAATAATAAGGAACCCCCGAGATGGAGCTGAGAATGTCTCCTTGACAGATGCTACTGTGGTTCAAGAAGATGAGGGCAGATACAACCAGCTAGTCACAGATAACGAGGATCTTAAGAAAGCAATATCAGAGGTAGTCTAGAATATGGAACACATGTCAGATAAATTTGTCCTAAGAAGTGTGAAAAAAAATCAGCAAATGAATTTTTTTTTTCAAAAGAGTAATTTCTATTATGACACAAATTTAAAGCAGGGATTGATTAAAACGAGCATTACTATTCAGAAAGTTGCATCATATAATTGGCTTATAAAGTATTTGCTATATTTTGCAGAAGGAAGATCATATTCGTCAGCTACATAAACATCTGCAGGATAAAGCCAGCCAGTACCACCAGAGGTCACCACCTTTTGCTGCAGACGACACACCCCAAAATCTTCTCAGGCGAAAAACTTCTAGAAACTTTACTGCAAAAATGGGAAGCATGACTTCAGACAGCAGCCCCACCCATTACCAAAGCAATGGAGATAGTGTCTTTGACAGTTACAGTACTTTCACGACCTGTACAACGGCACCCACAACAGTAGCCATGACACATGACAATATCAAAACTGGCGGTGCCGCCAAGACCAACCTGAGGCAATCCCTGAAGGTAGAGGATGCCCTGACTATAGGGAATGATGGAAATAGTGACTCGGCCATTGTGGCTGATCTGCATGTGACCCCAAAAATAGACAGGAAAGATCAGAAAGTGAACAGCCTGCAGGAAAATGCCATAATGGAGATTAGTCTATGATACTGCAGATCTCTGTTTTTGTTTTTTCATTTCTTTAATTGATATTTACGTGGTACAAAACTTCTCTTTTATTGACTGTGCAATGCTCTGATTTCATTTATATTTTGGGTTTATGAAAGTTAACAATAAATAGCATGAAGTCGTAAATAGAAGACTATAAATAGAACATTGATATTTAGTGAACAGCACATATTAGTTGTGCTGTGCCTCTATACAAGTGGCAGATAGCACTTTCACTTGTCTTTATTATTTATACTGAGGGGATAATGGGTCATATTGGCCCAGGTTTACATTGGATTTCTAAGGAAGTTAGTTCCCTAGTTACTGGTAGTTAAAAATGAGTAGAATGGGAATATGACAAATCAAAATTTTAAATCTCCTTTGGACAGTACCCATACCATGGAATTGTCTGATGATGAGCTAATTCTTCCATGGTGATGGAAACACCCTCAGTGAAATGGTGACTTTTTAGAAGAGTTGGCACAACTCCAGGGTCATGCCAGCATGTGCATTTTATTTAGCATCCCCTGTTAGAAATATATCTGTATTTTATTTACCCATTTCTAAGTGATGGATGAGTCTTTGAATTTGGGTTAAATATATGCAAAAAAAAGACCACAGGAATGCAGCATTTTGTAACAACTGCGAGATTAGATGAGAAGAGATCATTTTCAGGGGCATTTAGCACCCTTGCAGTGTAAACATTATAATTATGAATTTCAGAGTGTAACTTTGGTTAATAATGCATAGTTTAGTATAATATACAGTATTATTTTATTATTTTTGTTCATTTTATATATACATTTTTTGTTATAGCTTTCACTCATTTTAATTAGATTAAAATATTTTTTTGTTTGTACAATTCTAAAAATACATCTTGTTGACTTATGTTTTTACTCTCCATTGGCTGTGATGTTAAATGTCCAAAGAACAAGGTCAGAAATCAAATTTTGTTATTTATCATGGCAATTCAATTCATAGTTGTTTCTTTTCTCAAATAAACACTGGTTGTCAACATAATATCTTTAATTTTTCATATTTTACTTAACTAAATGATTTTACTGTCACCAGTACAAAATATGATAATAATGATAAAGTAAAATAAAATAAAAAGGAAAGGTTACTAATAGGCCTTTTCAGTTAAAATTAGTAACTTTTATTTTCAGTACCTGAAGAAGGGCACCTACCAGTTAAATATCAACTCTTCAAACTAAATAGCTGAGGTGAAAAATGCCAGATAACATTATACTTAACTTAGATCACCATTTGCATTAAATATTTTATGACGCAAGTCTTGGTGAGAGAACTGTAACATGTCAAAATTCTTATGCAAATTTGGACGACATACTATCAAAACTTATGAGATGAAGTGAGGGAGTTTAAAATTATGGGAGTCATATCTGGTCGTATCATGTTAGGCATAATGATAAATGTTGTCCCTGAGGGGGAGCAAGAGCCACTTAAACAGGAGACAGTTCACCTCATCACTTCTGGTTTGACGCCATGCTATCAAATCCATATTTTACTTTTTTTGCTTTTTAATTACTTTTTGGTGTATCACACCACTTTCAGTTCTGCAAACCAGATAACTTTATTGTATTTAATGTGCATGAAGAGTACATCTTCCTCCTTGCCAATGATTTCCATATATTATCAATAATCCCCACTCACAGATTCATTGATCTAATGCAGTTTTAAAGTACTGATATTCAGAGAGGTTCCAATACAGGCTCTGAACCTCAGGGCGATCTGATCACACTCGCTTTCTCAACACAAATACACCGTGAATACCAGTATGAAACCTATAAATTTCCTCAAAGTTTGCCGTGAGTTGCTCGATACGAGCTTCACCGTAGATACGATGTGCATTATACTCCAGCGTCCCTTTTCTCTTTCCAAATGAAGCAGGAACACCAAGAAAAAATAACCCACCAGGCTTAAGCATGCACCATATTTGCGCTGCAGCTTCAAAATCACCATACGGATTAATAGGGTCGCCATAGCGACCAAGTCCTGAGTGTTCTAAGGAAGAAAATGATGCAGCAAAATCAAACTGGGGTGGCTGATTTTTTATACTTTCGTCTGCCAAGTCTGGCATCAGTTTAAACGATATCTGAGGATGCTCAAATATGACAGAATTATAATCTACTGTTGTCACATGCTTGACACCCATGTTTATGAGCATTACTTCTATCCAAGGACGAATACTCCCAATCACTATCCCAGACTTGCCCGTCAGTTCAGATTTGTATTTGCTGAGACCATTCTTAAACTTTGCACTCTCTTTTCCGTAACTTCCAATCATTTTTAGCTCTTTATCGTCTTTGATTAATTTGTTCATGTCCTCTATCTTGAACACGGAGCCCTTAGAAGCCGTTGTGCCATCCATGTAAAAAGATCCCAGTGCCATGTCTCCATTTTGTGTGAACGCATCCAAAAGCTCTGTAGGTGGCTCTCGTAGAGGTGGTTTATACACTTTTCCAGGAGGGTATTTAAGTCTCAGAAATATGTTACGACAATTAAAATTCTTCTTGACAAAAGACATTCCTTTGCTTTTGTGGATGGAAAAATCACAGACTTCCCCACAAGGAGGAGACAGGGGGTTGTCAATAGATGGTGCCAAATGCAGATGATCCCTTGAGACCTCTGTCTGATGCTGGTTATTTTTACTGGCTGGTTCTGGTAAATGGTTTGGTTCACCATTTGTCTTCAGCATTTCAAACTTCTTTGGCAGCTGAAAGAACATGAGTATTACAACTATTTTGAACACTTAGAATACTATGATATGTTTAGTAATTGAACAATTTTGAAAAAGTACAAAATCACTGCTTTTTTTCAAATTACTGGATTTCTAAACAAACATATATCTGAGCTCATTTCAAAACGTCACCATGTCACTTAAGTGACAACTATCCCATCTTTAGTTCACTAGAAGAAAACTTTCAAATAAGCCAGAAATGTTGTGACCATCACTTAAAATATAAAATATTTAAGCTCAAGGATAAAAAATGTGAACATAATTCCATTTTAAAATTTATCTAATCTGTGCATCGTTAAAGGTAACAAAAGATCCACTTGATCCAAATACAGTTTATAATCAAATTCATAATTCATAAGAAACTTTGTAAGCCTCTACAACCCAAATTTGCATACAAATCACACAGCCAACTGTTGTAACAATACACAGATCTGACTTCTTCTAACTTCCTGCAAAGTAACACCTGAATGAAAGACCTTCCAATATATCCATCACCAAAAACACCTTATCACCAGTCAAATAAACAGCCAAAATGTGGTGTGGTATTATCTCGAAAGAACTCAACATCATCTTCAGTCAAACTTACCCATAAAATCATCAAACATTGCACAAGAATCAAAAGTGATCTGAAAAGGAAAGGATGATTCTCATTCCACCAGCCAGAACTTACCATTATCAAGAGCGCCATCAGCACCAGTGCACCAGCCAAGCCATACAGCAGATTTCTGTGAACCATACTTCTATCCTCAACTTTTCCGAAAGTAATGGTCAGTCTACAGAAAATATGACTTAAAAGCATTTCTAACAATGTATATATATTATGTAGATTCCTTTGTCACTTAGGGCTCTTTCCCAATGAAACTTGTGTTCTACGTAGATCAACCCAACTCAGCAGGGAATTTCACTGCTTCAATGCAATCAGATTAAAATATTAACATGCCTCTTCCTGGTATTGAGTAGAATATAGAAAAGCTGGTGATTTTACGAGTACGTTGGACACAAGCAGATGTGTGTTAATCTGATTGAATTCAGTGAGAGTCCCCAGGAGTTACTAAGAATTACTTAGAACAATAGTTTCATTGGGAATGTAACCCTATATGTCCATACTGTTATAAATCAATGTCGGCTTGAGGGGCGTTTGGCCAAGGTGGACAACTTTACACTGATACTATCATGTGCTGCCCTCTGGCCATCAGACCCATCATATTAACCTGCACTGACACTGTCTTGTACTGAATACCACACTGCTGATATAAAATCTGAGTCAATTTTTTCTTTATGTGAGAGACAATATACTGTAGTAGTAGATACATTCTGTGGAGTTGTTAAATGTGGGTATAGTTCCTAAAATATGTTAATAAATTCACTATCTATGATTTTTTTTTCAATATGGCATATAGCTCACATGGAGGTTGCTCGAAGGCTGCCAACTGGCAGATGACAAACAACTCAACCCCTACCTTGCCATAAAGTAGAATATTCTTAGCTTAATCAGTTAATTTTTTCTTCTTTCGTAAAGATTGAGTTATAGATAAACAATTCTATTTGTCTTTATTCATTGATTATGATTTGATTTTAAAACTATCCAACTGTAGATTTGTAACATAAAATGAAGTATTACACAAAAATCTATAAGTTTCAAAGTTTGTAATTTGTAGTGTTTTATTTCCATATCTCAAAACTGACACTTCTATAAAAAATATAACTTTTAAGTAACATTTTGTTCCATTGTTGCACTCTGATTAGTTTTTCTGATTTCTGGCAATGAACTGAGCCACTTGATTCACTTAATTTTAACAATTTAAAAACAAATATATAACAATGAATGTTGCAACTACATGTATCAGCACCGTTTCTTTGTTGACTTTTTTAGGCAATATTTAACAAACAACTTAAAACCCACCATCACTGCTGACAAAAAATTTATGTACATGAAATGCTAATTGTTTTTAAGACAAAAACATTAAATATATACAACAACAAAAACATCAGCAATGTGTGTGTGTATATATATATATATATATATATATATATATATATATATATATATATATATATCAACAAACATGTAAGCAAAATATACTTAAGCACAATTATAATCATACTTCTGATTATATTATCACAGAATAATATATTGCTCTTTTAATAAGATAACAAACAAGGCAGCAAAGCTGTCAAATGTACAGACAAAAAACAGGAAATAACTATGCACAAAATAGGCTACTGTCAATTCTGATGCAAAAGTACATTATGTTAAACTGCAAATTCAACATCAAATTTTAAATATACTCAACAGGTAATACCAATGTAAGTAAAATGTGTAACAAGTTCACACTTTGAAAATGTATAACTTCCAGAAAAAGAAGCCAATTAGACTGCTTTTCCAACTCAGGCTGCATTTTAGACTGTCCTGTATTTCTTTTTTGAAAGTTTGGCAATCATAAGTAACATGGTTTTCCCATAATGGTCATCATGGCAGCAGCACCCAAAATTGTGTTTTCTTCTATTCTGATGCCATATTACATAATGGTTAACAGCATAAGGACCGTCAATTTTTAATAATAAAATATACATATCATGGATTTTCAGAAAATGTGACTAGCATGGGTCTTCAAGCCCATGGAACTTCAAAGTCACACCTTGAAAATGCCAATATGTGAAAAATTAAATTTTCACAAAAAAAAAAACTGTTTAACTGGCATTAAGAATTACCAAACAGACTGCATTGCCTACTGAAGCTGTATTTTAGTCCCATGTTTCTTTCCTGTAAGTTTGAGAACAGTAAGTGACATGGTTTTTCTTAAATGGTCATCATGGGAGCAGTGCCCAAAATAGGTTTTTTTCAAATTTTGATGCAATATTACATAATGTTTAACAGCATAATGACCATCAATTTTCATAATAAAATATAAGTATTATGGATATTCAGAAAATGTGACTAGCAAAGGTCTTCAGGCCCATGGAACTTCAAAGTCACAACTTGAAAATGCCAAAATTTAAACAAGACAGCACTGTTCTGAAATGTTTTTTTTCTCCATTTTTAACAATTTTTTAAACATAAAACAAAATTAACAGTTTACTGCAATTTTTATATGATCAACTAAGAAAATTGATGAGATGGGAAAAATATCAATAGAACAGTGTTAAATGTCCAATTTCTTCCATTCTGAGATTCTGAACATAGTGAATGATTGAATCTGACAAACTGCAATGATATGAGTTTATTTAAATTTTTAAAACTTTATTACACAATACACGATAACAAGTTTACCATCATTTTTCCATAATCAACTAACAATGTTGTAAAGATGCAGGAAATGTCAAACAAACACTTTTACGTATCTTATTAGTTCAATAATGAGACTGTTAATATGCCTAAGAGTTGAATTTGAGAAAATGTGAAAAAACAGCATAACTTCTAAAATAATGCCCCGATTATGCTGATTTTCGAACTCAACCTGCGTTTTAGTAAGATTGACCACTCCTGTGAGTTTTAATGACAATTGGCCCATCTGTTTTTCTTCTATTGTGTTTACAGTGTTGCATATATGCTGAAAATTGAAAAAACAGCATAACTACTAAAATAGTGGCCCAATCATGCCGATTTTCGAACTTGACCTGCGTTTTAGTAAGATTGATTACTCCTGTGAGTTTCATGACAACAGGCCTAATGGTTTTCCTTAAAATGTGTTTACAGGGTTGCATATATGCTGAAAAGTGAAAAAAACAGCATAACTTCTACAATAATGGCCCGATCATGCTGATTTTCAAACTTGACCTGCGTTTTATGAATATTCATCAGCTCTGTAAATATAAAGCCAAAAAGTAAAACTGCCCTCCACTTATCGTGTTTACAAGGAAAGTGCATGGCGCCGGCATCGGCATCGGCGACGACAGACGCAGGTGATGGCAATATGTACAGACACATCTGTATCTGTACATAAAAATTATCTTACATATAAGCCTTAAATGACGATGATGTCACAGTAGATGTCACATAAGACTAGAAAAAGTGCAAGGACCAACATGAGATGGGACTAATCTTATAGCAAAGATTACCTATGCACTAGGTATGTTGTCTTAGAAAGCAACAGGCACAACAGTGAATGCGCACTGTTGTGCAACAGACTTATTCCACAGAACTTTAGAGAAAACAGCCAGAATACAATGTCCACAGATATTTGTCAGCTTTTCTTCAATCCCATTCCATGCTTGCTAGTCTGAAATTATTTACGACTCCTGTATCCTACAAATCTTACTAAATCTCTCTAGAATTTATGCTAAGTCCAACACTTTGGTATAGCAAGGATGATTTCCATTGCCATCATTGGATCTTCAGGATACACACCAACAACAGTAATATTAAAATTCATTTACAATAAAAATGCTGTTAGCTCAAGCCAGGGTTCTAACCATTCACACACTTTTTTCCTACCACATCGCTATGTAAACACCTGTGATAAAGTAATTCAAAGGTGTGGTTTTTATAGCATAGTATATTTAGGCCTATTTAGGTCCAGGTCAAAAACACTTTTAAAACTGCCCAATAAAAATAATTATGTATTGATTAAATTCCAATTATTTGTTCATTTTCATTGTATCCAGCTATTCTTAATACTTTTGTCAACATTTAAGCAAATCAGATAAAACAATTTTCCAAAGAAAACTTTTATGTTAAAATAAATAAATAAATAAATCCTACAGCTTTTTCATGAAGCAATATGAACTTTCCTGCTATTCACCATACCTGTATTTAACTTTACATCCAGTTCTATCCCTCTTAAATTTACCTCAGTCTTTAGCTATATGTTGAAAATCCAAGGTAATATAATATTAATTATCTTCTCTATGAACTAAAATTAGTCTTCAAAGGGTTGCCCTGATATGAGCAAAATCCATAAATATTCCATTGCATTAGAAAGTTGCTACTTCCACTTTAAGTAAGCGTAAAGGTCAAATGCTCTTCAGTTGAACCTTCACAATGTATCCGTTTCTGGAAGTAACACAGTGGTAGTGCAACCTTTGATAACATCCTTTAAGTCAAAATGCATGTAACACACAGAAAAGTTCATCAGTTGTTACATCTACTATGTGTTTCTAATATCTGGCAGAGCTGGCAACTAGAAAGTACTGCCTACATATGATGTTCGTAATCATCCTTCAACCATGCTTCCCATGTCAGCAGTTAGTTACTGAATTAGAAAGTGAAAAACATCCATCAGGAGTGAGCCGCACACACTGGGTCTGTGTGCAGCGGCACTAAAATTAGTTCGCACAGACAATGAGATGGTTCAGCATCATGAGAGAACCCTCTGTTCCAGGGTGGTGACACACGTGGTCTTCCATCATGCAATCAGTGTGTTAACATTGCTGCAGCATCCCTGTGGTTCCTCCCTTCCATGGGTCCCATCAATCAGTAGGGGAAATGGGATAAAACTTTTACTTAAAAACTGTATTTGAAAATGTCCCAAAGTCATATTTCCTGTCAGCACATCCTGCAAAGCTACTTTTTTTCCAAAAACAACTAAAATCACTAAAATAAAAGAACCTAGTGTGGATATTTCCTTTTGGAATGTTCATGTAAATATGGGAGTCACAAGTGATAGGGTAGTCATTTAGAAGGAAATCATTTATTTAAAATAGGGCAGCAAAGCTGTCAAATGTACAGACAAAAAACAGAAAATAAAGATGCAAAATAGGTCATTTTGTCAATTTTGATGCAATAATAAATAATGCTTATAATAGCACTGTCAGTCAACACTGAATTTTAATCATGCACAACAGGTAACATGGTCAATAACAGGAGTCGACCCAGAGATATTTTCTGACAGTATTCCAAAGTATCTATGTTGATCCATCTCCCATTTTTATGGTCTTCCAACAGAAAAAAATAGATAACAGTCAATATAAACTTAATAACCTGACCGTCTTCCGGAAGACCCAGAAGATGGTCTCAACCCACCCCTTCAATAAGATTCAGTTACAGTTTCAGGACCATGAGAGTTCAAATTCACATGATGAAAGTCTCAATATTTGAACAAGGCAGCAAAGCTGTCAAACGTACAGACAAAAAACAGGAAATAACTATGCACAAAATAGGCTACTGTCAATTCTGATGCAAAAGTACATTATGTTAAACTGCAAATTCAACATCAAATTTAATTATGCTCAACAGGTAATACCAATGTAAGTAAAATGTGTAACAAGTTCACACTTTGAAAATGTATAACTTCCAGAAAAAGAAGCCAATTAGACTGCTTTTCCAACTCAGGCTGCATTTTAGTCCTGTCTTTCTTTTTTGAAAGTTTGACAGTCATAAAAAGAGGCAAGAACAGACATGACAAAGAAAAGGATGCAATGGGCCTCATTGAGGGTGCAAAGCAAAGTATAGTGTTACCATACTGCCAAGGTCTGTCAGAAAAACTAAGCCGGGTTTATAAAAAATATAACATCAAACTCCACCATAAGCCAGGTTGGACGCTGAGACAAGCACTAGTGAAGCCCAAGGATCCTCTAACCCAAGGAGAGCAATGTGGTGTGATATATTCAGTCAAATGTGGAACCTGCCAAGGAGAATACATTGGCGAGACAGGAAGACCATTAGCCACAAGAATGAAAGAACACAAAGACTCAGTGGCCAAAAACAACTGGAAATCAGCCCTTGGAGAACATACCTGCAAACATCCAGGTCACCACATAGACTTTGACAGCCTGAAAGTGATAGACAGGGAAAACTGGACATTCCAAAGAAAAATAGCAGAAGCTGTACACATCAGGGCCAAACAACCAGACCTGAACAGACAGGGGGGGTATGATTTACCAGCTATCTACCTCACGGTGCTCCAGAGGGATGCAGAGGAGCCCCGGGGGGAGCAAGTAACAGTTACAACACAAGGCCAGTGATTAGGGGCAATTGACCTGGATTTTCATTCCAGGTGAAATGACCCAAGTCATTTACTCCCTGATGATGGTGACTGACAGTCACAGAAATATTGGAGGTAATACCCACATATTTTACAAGCTCTTGATAAAAAGAAAAACAGTAATTTGAATAATACACAATAACAAGTTTACCATCATTTTTACATAATCAACTTACAATGTTATAAAGATGCAGGAAATGTCAAACAAACACTTTTACATATCTTATTAGTTCAATAATGAGACTGTTAACATGCCTAAGAATTGAATCTGAGGAAATGTGAAAAACAGCATAACTTCTAAAATAATGGCCCGATTATGCTGATTTTCCAACTCATCCTACGTTTTAGTAAGATTGACCACTCCTGTGAGTATAATGACAATTTGCCCATCTGTTTTTCTTATATTGTGTTATCAGTGCTGCATATATGCTGAAAAAAGTGAAAAAACAGCATAACTTCCCTTAAAATGGCCCGATCATGCTGATCTTCGAACTTGACCTGCGTATTAAAAATATTCATCAATTCTGTAAGTTTCAAGCCAAAAGGTAAAACGGTTTTTCACTTATTGTGTTATCGGTGTTGCATATATGCTGAAAAAAGTGAAAAAACAGCAGAACTTCCATAAAATTGACCCGATAGCTCTGATTTTCGAACTTGACCTGCATATTATGAATATTCATCAGTTTTATAAGTTTCAAGCCAAAAAGTAAAAAGGTTTTTCACTTATCGTGTTATCGGTGTTATAATAATGCTAAAAAAAGTGAAAAAACAGCATAACTTCCCTAAAAATTATGAATATTCATCAGTTCTGTAAATTGGAATACAAAATGTAAAACGGTATTCCACTTATCGTGTTATCGCTGAGTGCACGGCGATGGCTACGATGGCGACAGATGCAGGTGACGGCTATATGTACAGACACATCTGTGTCTGTACATAAAAATTAATTATTAATGCTCTATGTAAGCCATGATAAGAAGCATGCTTTATTCTTTACCATCAATTTCTCACCAATTTTGAAGCACAAAATCTTGAGTTATTTTCTGTTAAGCTTTCTTTGACATGTAGTTTTCACACCATGTAATCCCTCCATCCATATGTTGGAGAATTCTTCTCACTTGGGACTGCAAATTTTACACGTTTAATTCTGCATGTGCCTGTTTGGGATTTGTGTCTGTATAAAACAAGATGCATTCCAATGCGCAAGCAGCAGACATGAAAATAAATCAAGCTTTATCTTCTGGGTTGGTCCATGTCATTTAACACTCTGTTCATATGCACGTTTATAAAAATAAATCATTCTGTTTAAGTACTATAAAAATCCTGTATGACCTGGTTCCTCAATTAAGAGTTATATGACTGTATTAATTACACCCTCTTTAACTATGATTCACTCAACAACTCCTTATTAAACTGATGTTCAGAGAGATAATAGCTGTTGATTTTGCAAAGATTATGTAAAAGAGGGCATTACAAAAATCACATGGTCCATTTTCATGTATCTAAATTAAAAAAATTAATGAAAAAGATCCAATTGTAAGTAACCATCAAGAAATATTTGATGTGTAGACATATATATATATATACATATACATGTTGTATTTACCAACTGACAGATGACAAACGACTTGACCTCTATCTTTCCATAAAGTATCTTTCCATAAAGTAGAACATCTTTAGCATAATAAGTTAATATTTCTTCTTTCATAAAGATTTAGTTTTAGATAAACAATCCCGTTTGTCTTTTTCCATTGTTTATGATTTGATTTTAAAACTATCCGCCAGTAGATTTGTAACATAAAAAGATGTACGTAGTACACAAAAATCTATAAGTTTCAAAGGTTGTAATTTGTCGTGTTTTATTTCCATATCTCAAAACTGACACTTCTATAAAAAATATAACTTTTAAGTAACATTTTGTTCCATTGTTGCACTCTGAATAGTTTTTCTGATTTCTGGCAATGAACTGAGCCACCTGATTCACTTAATTTTGACAATTTAAAAACAAATATATAACAATGAATGTTGCAACTATCAGCACCGTTTCTTTGTTGACTTTTTAGGCAATATTTAACAAACAACTTTTCAGTAAAACCCACCATCACCGCTGACAAAAAATTTATGTACACGAAATGTTAATTATTTTTAAGGCAAAAACATTAAATGTATACAACAACAAAAACATCAGCAATGTGTATATATATATATATATATATATATATATATATATATATATATATATATATATATATATATATATATATATATGTATATATCAACAAACATGTAAGCAAAATATACTTAAGCACAATTCTGAATATGAAACAATCATACTTCTGATTATATTATCACAGAATAATATATTGCTCTTTTAATAAGATAACAAAAAATTAATTATTAATGCTCTATGTAAGCCATGATAAGAAGCATGCTTTATTCTTTACCATCAATTTCTCACCAATTTTGAAGCACAAAATCTTGAGTTATTTTCTGTTAAGCTTTCTTTGACATGTAGTTTTCACACCATGTAATCCCTCCATCCATATGTTGGAGATTTCTTCTCACTTGGGACTGCAAATTTTACACGTTTAATTCTGCATGTGCCTGTTTGGGATTTGTGTCTGCATAAAACAAGATGCATTCCAATGCGCAAGCAGCAGACATATGAAAATAAATCAAGCTTTATCTTCTGGATTGGTCCATGTCATTTAACACTCTGTTCATATGCACGCTCATAAAAATAAATCACTCTGTTTAAGTACTATAAAAGCCTGTATGATCTGGTTCCTCCATTAAGAGTTATATGACTGTATTAATTACACCCTCTTTAACTATGATTCACTCAACAACTTCTTTTTAAACTGATGTCCAGAAAGATAATAGTTGTTGATTTTGCAAAGATTATGTAAAAGAGGGCATTACAAAAATCACATGGTCCATTTTCATGTATCTAAATTTAAAAAAATTTACGAAAAAGATCCAATTGTAAGTAACCATCATGAAATATTTGATGTGCAGACATATGTATATATATATATATACATGTTCATTAAACAAGTCGACATTTAAGAAATATTATAATCATAGGCATTATGTAAGCATACTACATAAGTACACATATATGTTACAAGTCAGTGCACATGATGTACTGATGAATCCAAATATTAATACCTAATTAAAATTTTTAATAACTTCAAACACTAAATCTTAATAACAGTGTCAACCACAACCTCAATTCATATTCTAACACGTTAGTTGACATGAAGGTACATTATATCATCAACAAAGTTATAAGGTATAAAATCAAAAATGCAATCAAATTTGAAATCATTTTGGGTTTGAAGGACTAGATTTTGGCTCCAAGGGAAGGCGATCCAATATATATATATATTGGCAATACTTTTTTTTAATAACAATGATTGTTTCTTGATTGACAATTGACAAAATGCCTGGGTAATTTACAAAAGATGAAATTATCCAGTGGTTGACTGAGAAATAATTTAATAAAACTGGTGATCTGCCGATTTCTCTTCTGGGTGAAAGCTGACATGTTTCTCTGGGCTACTTCCCAGCTGGATGATCTCATAGGACGACAAATCACTCTCGCTCCTTATGCTGTTCTTTGGCGAGAAAGGTTTGTTGAACATGTACACGGGGCGTTTCGGGGAGGAAGTAATGGGGCAGATCTCCATGAAGGGTTCATTGGTCCACATTTTCTGGAAATACAGGTAATTATGATGAATAATGAATTTGTTTACGAAGCACTAACATGGACACAGAACTAACTGGTAAAAATTTTCAATAACGCTTTTTTTTTAATTGAAAAAATATATTCAAAAGAAACAAAATATAATCCAATCAAAAATCAAGGACAAAACATTTTCTCCGATATTTGGAAAGAGGGCACTGGTATAGAAAGTTATTAGTGTGTGGATGATATTAAGTCAAAATTCCACTTGTTTTTATCAGCAATGGGAGATTAAATCAGCCATGGCATTTACCATATACCCAGTACAAGCTGACCAAGAGCTTCCAGAGTTAACAGGATATCAACTCCAAATACATGCCGACTCACCTCACCCTCTTCTTTGGTCCATTTGAGGACAGATTCATCATCACCATAGCAACCAGCACAGCTGACAATGACAGGCTCACCACTACATCTGAAATTACAAGAGGGATTGGAGTGAAAAAGAAACTTAAACAAATTTTGATTTAAAGCAATTCTATCATATGCATCATCTTAAGCTAAAATATTCTTAGACCCTGCAAGGATTCTAGATGTTAGTATCAACCAAGAGTTTTATAATTTTATATGTACCTTGTCCGCAGAACTGCCCTGATTGGTTTATCTGCGACCTTGACCCTGGCCTGCAGAGAAAGGTCAAACAGGTATGGGACCTCATTGGTGCTGATGGTGGAGTAAGCAGATGCGACGCTGATAGAGCTGAGACGCCTGGAGAACCCTGAGACGCTGCTACGCCTTACGACACCATCTGTGTCCTCGCCTTCCTTCAGTGAGCCTAGCCAGGGAAAATAATTGACAGGTTATTATTTATTCCACTGGCTTTTGTTTTAATCACAGTTAAAAACTATACTTATTTTCAAATTGGTGTCTACCCCAATCTAAATATACTAATTGTAGTACTTATTCTAAAGATAAAAGTGACAGTAGTGTCATCATTCCATGACAGTTGTTAGAAATTTTCATACACTGCACTTACGATCTTGCACCATTATGCAAAGATAAAATACTTCCAAACTGAATATGTTTTGATACCCTGTAGACCCCAAGCTCATTAAATTAATTAAAGTACTGACCAGTTGACCCTCTTTCCTCTTCGCTTGACCAGAACACAGAGCTGGCATTGGTGTCCAAACTCATTTGCCTGGAGTGACAACCTAGCATGTTGCCATTTGTCCCCATTTGTCTTCCACTGGAACTGGCAGTCCTCCTGGAAGCCTGGGGGCTGATAGGCAGGTCTCTTTTCTCCAGGGGCGAGTCGCCATCTTGCTGTAGAATAGAGTTTGTAGACAGAATGGCAGGAGAACTTGAAGTATGGGTCAAAGTGTGGTTAAGAGTCACTGGAAGGTTGTCAAAATCTTCGACATTGATTATAACACCACTGGAACTGTCTTCTGCTTGCTCTTCTCCTCCCTCGCCAACCTCAAATGAAATGAGGCCATTGTCAAATTTCTCTTCTTTAGTTGCAAAGTCTGTGAAAGATGTCTCATTGTCAGTTGCTGTTTCCATGCTGATAAATCCTTCCTCGTCACCAATATTGTGGTCCCATTGTAAACTGGGTTTCTTCAAAAGTTTTTGAGACTCAATCCTAGCTTCGAGGTCTGTGAAGTCACTGTCTGTCCTTGACCTTCGTGCTGACCCATCAAGGTCAATGTCAGTCACTTCACTACTTGACCTTGACTTCTCATCTGGCTTAGGGTCAGTATCTCTATAGGAACTATTATGCAGATCAATACTTTCACTGATCACTACATCTACAACATCTTCCACTCCTGTGCTTTTCTTTTTAAGACTCCTAGAATAAAAGGCAGGAACTACAGTTTCAGATGAATTAGGATCAGTGCTTTCTGAGCTGTTACCAGCACTGCCTTGACCTTGACCTAGATGGTCAAGGTTATCACTATGCTTCCTAACCACTGATTCTTCTGTTTGAAAAGAACGCACAGGCACTGATGAAGTCGTAAGAGAACAGTGCTCTGACCATAGCAGATTCTCACACCTCTCATGTTGCCTTATGGCTTCAAGAATTATTTCTTTTAGAGAAGGTTGGTGTGTCTCTTCAGCTTGTGACTGAGATTCCCGATTTTTGTTATCATTTATTATTGATTGCCTGGCGGAATGATCAAGTTTAGATAACATTTGATTTCCGTGTATTTCCTCATTTCCTGTGTCAAAGTCTGAATCTGAAATCATGACACCTTGCTTTCCCTCATACTGCTCCATATGATAAGCTGCCTGTATGCCTTCTTCAGCAGTATAGGATGCCAAATCTCTTTCCTTTGTACACAAACCTTTTTCCGATCCATTACACTTCCCTTGCTTTTTTGCACACGCCTCCATTTGGAACCTCTCAGCATCTTTCTCCAAATCTGTTTCACCTTGAAAATCTTCTGCTTGTTCATCTCTAACTCTCCCCTCCACCTCCTCCAGCTCCTGTTCACTTGCACATGTGTTTGTTGCCTTCTGGCTGTGAGACAAGAATCCTGCTGCCTGACCTTCTTCTGTATCAACCTCCTCACTAGCACCACTGTTGCAATTAGCACCATTCTGCTGCCTACTGACACTGCTTCCATTGGAAGCATCATGTACGAACTTTGTACAGTCGTTGTTTTTGTCTTCTTTTCTCTTAATGACACCACTGTGAGACAAGTCCTTCTTATATGTTGTTGGTGACAACTTACAGTCACCATTGATATGCTGAGTAACCCTGTCACAATCTGAATAATATTCATAACTACTATCTTTGACATCATCACTTTCATTGTTTTCTTTTAATTTCTTCAACCCAGACTGATAGGGTGTATCATCTTTTCTGACCTTATCAAATTTCTGCCCATTAAATTCTGATAGATCAAACGTGAAATGTTCCAGTCTATTTTCACTTGAGCTGCACAGTTTAGGTGTGAGGTTTTCCTCCATGTCCTTGTCACAGAAAGCTGGGTTGTTCCAGATGACAGTGACTCCACTGTCGCGGGAGATCTTTCGCATTCTAGAAGACTGATCCAGTGCAGAGTCGCTGATGGCCTGCCTGGTTGGCGCCCCCAGCTGGGGAAATCTGGAGTTTTCTGGAATAAATGATTTATATTCTTTAAGGGGCAGAAAGATCATAAAGACAATCATTTTTTTTTCCAGAAATCACTTCATAATAGTGAAATAATAAAGGGCATGAGATATTTTAAAATATAATTTTTTCATTCAATTTAAATGTCTATCATAATTTTTTAATTCAATTAAAATATCTATCATTCATGTCAGAAAGATGACCCGCATTTAGTACATCTGAAGTCATTCGTTCCAATATAATTCCTGTCTACAAAATCAAGATCCCCCCCAAAAAAATTTCCACAACTATCACCCACCAACTCCACCGCCCAGTGAGCAGCGAGGACTGAGTCTGTTAGTTTTCTGTTCCTCCAGCCTCTGGTAGTACAGTTCCTCCACTTTGTGCCCCACCTGGTGCAGTGTTCTCAGGTCCCTGGAAGTTCACATGGAAAACAAATGTAAAGTTAACTGAGATATGAATATCAAGTCTTCTTAATGTCTTCTAATCAATCTGCTTTTGTGATTAGTTGACTTAGACTACTTGTACTTGCAAACTTAATGCTGAAAATTGAATCACTCTCTCTTTTTACGTGCAGCACATGAATGTGATATGATACCTGTAGGATTAACATTTTTACTTACAACAGCTATTGCAGATTCAAGGTAAAAACATTCTGAAAAATGCACATTATCTAAGAGGTTGTAACATATTGACAACCTAAGTATTGTTATCTCTGTTTAATGCTGAAATCTGTGAAAGTGAATTACAATCAGAATCAGAAGTGATCCCAATTCAGCACTGAAATTTTAACAGACAAAACTGATAATAATTTACAATCCCAACAAAAATGGACTCACTTGACCACTTGTCCACAGCTGGTGTAGTATGGAGAGCTGAGGTTGCTGTCACTGTGAGGGGTTGCCGCCTTGCTGTGAAAGACACCTTCCTTGTCTATGACATCGTAGAGCAGCAAGTTTCCGTCTCCTGTTCCTATCCACACAGCATGATCTATGGGCAGGACTGCTGTGATACGGGACCCATTGAAGTAACAACAATCCTCCTGTGGGGAAAACATGATCACTGTTCAATTGTCCTAACCAGATAGCTTATATCTTGTTTTAAAGCCTTTTATAATATCATTATCAAAATATTTTATAAGCCTATCAACAGTTTTTCAGAATGGAAAAAAAGTGAGTTAAAATGTTAGGTGGCCCGTGTTTGTTACTTTGTATGCACATTTGCATACACTTAATGTATATTTGCATGTATTATTTCTGTACATGATTGTTTCCACATCTGTTTTTGAGTCCAGAATGGCAATATTGCCCACAATCAACATAACACAATCACAGCTTCTCTAACACAATGTCAGGTATTCACCTGTTAACCAGTACAAGCCTAATCTAACACTGTGAATGATACAACAGATATGTCGAGTTGTGGTTATCATCACTGGTGCAATAAAGCAGCCCCAACCTACCTTCCTCAGGTTTGGGTATCTATTATCCTTCACATCAAAGAACATCATGCACGTAAGGAGTCTGTTGTCCCAGAGTTCAATGATGGACGACCCCTTGATTGCAATCCAGACCCCATACTGGCTCATGGCGAGGGTCAGAATGTGGTCATAGGGGTTGGTGGACACCACAAAGTTGTCCATGGGGTCCAGAGTACTGTGAAGAGAAAAAACAAAGTAAACAACTGTGGTATGATTTATCTTGAATTCTACATTATAAGGCTAAATATATGACATTACCTTTTCATTGCATCAATTTTATTAATAATATACTCACTCTACCAAAAGAGTGTATTCAGATTGCTCACACTGTAGTCCTCAAAATAAAGATCCATTGACAATCATGTTCACTTACAAACACTTTAAATTCAACACAAAGAAAATGTGTGTTTTTTAAGAGGGTGTAATCAGTGAAGAGCGGACAGCTTATTATACAGGGATGAGACTGAAAAAGTCAGAAAATTTGGTTCACAAAAATTAAGAAATATGCGGTTAGTCAGAAAAATCTCGTAGTTGATTTAATATACCTACACAGCATGTAAAATATGGACCATGTTCCCTGTTGCACACCATAACTGTTTGTCTATCAGCAGCATGGAGGTCACAGGACCCTGACCAACAGGGATGTAGAATACTTCATACTGCGCACTGTCTGAAGAGGACAGTTTCTGAAAGAAAAGAAAACAAAATGTTATAGAAATCTTCACATTAGATTCACATTAAGCTAATTTCAAACATTTCACTTTTTCATATTTTCATAAGTCACAGAAACGTTATTAGACATGTGAAAAATACACTGTTACGAGATGAATTCTACTATAGCCGTCTCTGACCTCCAGCACTGCCACTGTACCGTCCGCCAGAGCTGCAAAGATCTTCTTCTGTCTGTCCTGTTCATCCATCACTCTCAGTGCAAAGATGGCGTCATTAAGGCGCACATGCCATAGCTGTACTCTGAAGCAAGACGTTGACATCCAATATTATGTCTTGGGTATTATATGCATAAACAAAATTCAATTGCCTCAAATCATTTATTCCCAAACCACTGTCATAAAACACAAACACACAAAAAAATGTATTGTACAAAAATATTTATGAAAAAGTTTTAGGATGTATATTACATATGTATAAATACCAAACGATCGTGACTACTTTCATGAATATCAAACACATATAACATTGGCCTTGCATTACACATTACCTTGACCTTGTACAGTAGGCAAACAGTGATTGGCTGAGAGTTCCCACCAACACAACCTCGGGGCTGAGGGCACATGCACACAGGACTCGAGTGTCAAACTGGAAGAGGTAAGATGAAATAATGTCAAAACTGTTGCAACAGAAATTTTAAAGGTTAAATTTGACAACTGCATATGGAAGAGAACCGAGAAAGTAAATACTGTAAGGAAAATAAGCTAATGAAATAAATTGTACAGAGCTGATAAAAATATTGTGCCTACTCACTAAACTCTTACCTCTATGTTTATGTCATACATAAAACCTTTGTGACATCTGACCTCTGCGACCCTGGATGATAGCTGGTTGCCATGGAAAACCCACAACTTCCCTGTAACAAGGACAGCAGTTGTCAATGACATGGTTATCGTAAAGACAAAATATGCAATGTGCAAATTGTTTGTTATGAATTGGATGAAACAAGTAAGGAAAAAAGTTTGTTATTGTACCACCTTTAAAGGAATTTATATTTTCTTATATTTGTTATTATAAGCAACAATAAAAAAATCTTTTATTACAATCATTGAATTTTTCTGAAGGCTTTTACATATTAAATAAGTGGTCTTAAATATTTTAGATATATTTTCCTTATACTTCCTCCTGTTTTCATACCCACAATTTTTTGTTATTATTTAACTTTCATCACATTGATTTATTTAAGTTTATTGACAGGCCAAAATTTTTGGAAGGCTTAAAAATTTGGGCATTTTAATCTCTGTTGTTCACCCAACTTGAGAAATGGCATAAAACCTAGAATGAAATTGTGATTCACAGAGGACCTTTTCCAGTCAAAGGGGCAGTACTTTTGTAACCCCTCTTCTCCCTAATCCCCCTGCCTATGGCCACGTGTAGTACAACTGGCGGCCATCTGCATAAAGTAAACAGACAGAAGTCTGGCCGGCATGCCTGCTTTGATATGCTGTTCTTTTGAAGGCTGTTTCTGCATGCTTACAACAAATTAAATGCCTGTTACCAACTTGCCAGCCACTTTTCAGGGCAGAATGCTAACCTTATGCTGTCTGATGCACTTTGCAAGCAGTGTTCTCGACTTTGATGTTTTTCTTCAACAATTTCATCAGCTGTAAAAGGTTACGTCAGTCCAACTCAAAACAGTTTTAATTGGGAGTTTTAATGTTTACTCAGTACGTGCCAACTATTGTTTTCAGAGTTTGGGTCAATTATTTCTTCGCAAACCTGCCATGTTGAATGCATATTAATCCAATTTTTTTTTCTTGAGTACTGTACAAAAAAGGTATTAAGTTAAATGTGTTCATTTAATGCAATAAAATAAATACATAACAGGGATCACTTTTTGCCCTTTTAATCTTAAAAAGTTGTCAATCCTATAATGGCAGAATCTTAGAATAATTTCACCTGTTAATTCAAAAGACAGGCTTAAGTCTATGAGAGAGATGCAACATCGTAAATTATAAAAATAAGACTAAACTTTAAGTCAAGTAAAAGATTTAAAACACTTAAATTATGTTAAATACGGCTGGACTAATAACCTACATAGTTACTATTATTTGAGAATCTTTTATTAAACTATGTCATGAAAAAAGATCACATTGTCCAGGTTAGTAGGACTTGTGTGGCCGGATAAGGTTGGTCCCTTTGTTTCTACAAAGACAGTTGAAATGTCCCTTGGAAAAAATTACAATGCTAAATAGACAGCAAAACGAACTTCAGACTGCACAAGGACTAGGAGTCAATCTGGATGACGCGCATTCAGAAGTTGCTCAGAGGTTAAACAGATCCGTGGATCAAACATGGCCGACCCCCTTGAAACCTAGCTGCATTATCCCCTAATATACACTGAATAGATTTCCTGCGGGGATTTCATGAGAAGCTTTCAAGTGGTCAGCTGTAATTGATCTGTTGACCTTGTTAGTCTGAGGATCAACTTTGGTTGTGAATGCGGCCTTAATCTGGCCCTGTTAATACTAAGACGATTGCAATCCACTCACCTTCCTGGAACTGTACAGCACACTCTATGAGGGCTCTCTTTCCTGGAGAGTATAGGTCCAGATCTTCAAACTGAGGAAGGAGTAAAATTAATAAAATCTATCAAAGATGGAAGGTAAATTACGTTTATCTTAGATAAATGAGATATAGCTTAGTATAAGTCTATTTTAAATGTATTAGTAATAATGTGTTTTAATGTTTAAGATCTTACCCAATTTTAACTAATAAGTAAAAATATTTTCCTTCAACACTGTACAACTTCAATCATCAGGTTGTGATCTTACTGAATAAACTACTACTATTATCATTATAGACTTATTGGTGAAGTATTCAGTTTTTCTTGCATTTTCAGCATTTGGTTTTCATGGTTTTTAAAATAGTTACTAAGTAACTAAGTAATACTTGTAGTTCTTACCATTCTTTCTCTCTCCAGGAATGCCCGCTGTTGCTTCTCTCTCTTCTTTACCTTCTCCTTCAATATGTTCACATAGTACGCCTGCTTGGATGTGATGTCTTTCCTTCGAGGAAATGGATTCAGGTCCTCAAATGCAGTCTGAAGAGATCACAGAAACATTTTAATTTAAAATCTTTAAGAAAAGAAGTGAGTCTAGATGCTTGCTGATTTTCTTTGGTTCTATTATAATTACAGAAATAACTATGATCTTATATAGTAATATGCAGTATTATGACGCCTTATGCTTCCAAAGTTAGCCTAATGCAGGATATTCCCATGCTCAGCAGCATATTCAAATTTTTTTTTTCTCACTTAAGTATACACCCTTGGTCACTCCCAGATTTGTCATTATAAATTGATTTAATTCTATATAGAATCACATGTAGAAAAGTGTGGCATGGAAAAACAACATCTTACGGCGAGCCCCACGATCAGATATATGCTGTCTACCTTAGAGAAAGTGTTATTGAGGTCCAAGTTGGCACCTACAGTGCATTAGCAATCAAAATCTATTTCCAAATAAAATATATATCTTCACCTTGACTAGCCCTTCAATGTCAAAGGTCAACTTGGCACAGGCTTTCAAGTGTCTCATGATGGAGATGGTCTCAGTTTTTTGCACAACAGAAGACTCGTGAATTTTAAGAATGGCAAGCGCAAAACGGAACAACACCTTGGGTCCTTCCAGAAGAAAGCAATCCCAGATTCTCAGCAGAGTCTACAAAATAATACAGAAACATTTTAATGGCTTTCATTTTTCAAATATTGCTATAATATCACAAAATAATAACATATATATTTTTAAGGAAAAACTTTGAGTAAATATCAAAACCTTACAGAATTGATCTGCTATACCCAAGATCAGTAGTAGAAGTATGGACATTGATTATAACAAAATTATAGGGTCTTCTACGTGTTCTAATACAACTTTATAGATCTTTAAATATATTTTTATATAAATGTCCATATATAAAATGACTAATAAGCTATCCCTGCCAGATCCCACACTGCACTTCACACAGTACAAGACGGTACACTGAAATCCTAACCAAGCATTTAATAGCCTTAAGTGATTATGTTGTCGGGAGAAAAAGTCAATTTCCCACTGATACTTTCACCTTTTCTTGACCACCACTCAGGGCTACTACAACAAATCTTTAACAAGATCTACAAATTCACAGTAATGTTCTGCAACACAGATGAGGCATTACCTCAGAGGAAAAAAAGGGAAGTAAATCCTTATGCTGTTTGGCATTTGTTGATTTAAACTTTTTGCCAAAACCTTGACTTCAATTTGGCTTTAAAAATTGGCCCCTGTTTATATACATTTAACCACATGACATTGTACAACATTTCATTGGCAAAGGTTGAAAGCCCCAAAACACTGACCCCTTGTTGTATTTAAATGAACGGGTCTCTTAATAGCCATTTCATCTATTACATAAAAATATCAAGTATTTCCTTTCTATAAAGGATAGATAGAAAAAGTGCTTTCAAGGTTTTGTTTTTCATCTGGTTGATGGGATGGGAGGTGGTGGGTCATATATTGAAAACATTAACCAGAAATAAAATATTTAAATGTTAAAAAATACAACTATATCTGACACTTTGGTGACATGTTGCCATGCATGCTGCTTTTACAATATGTCATAAGACAAAATATCCTTAAAAAAGACATCAACTTTTGGTGAATTTGGCATTATCGTTGAGTGGCAAAGAGACCTTAATTTCTTCCTGAAAACAAGATTTCAATTATGTTATCTTGGGTCATTGTTAAAATCATCACAACCAAGTGAGTGGAATTCCTACTTTAATAATTTCTGGAAGCCTACCCCAAAACAATACAAAACAAACACAAAGTCAATGTTTGGACAAGCACCATGAGTTAGGCAACAGTTGGGAAATTTATCTAACCTCACACCTCCCAAGAGGTTCTTATTCTGCCTACTACGTGAATAAATAGAGATCTGCCCTACACAATAGTTTTCATACTCACAGTTACTCGATCCAAACCTAAATAAAATCAAGTGGTGAAGAGACAGGATAGAACATGTTCTACACTCTGTTCTCTTATCCAAATGTAAAAAAATCATTTCACTATTTTAGAATTAAATAGGCAAATGCCGAACTGTTGGTCTGGTTATACTGAAAAAAAAAATTCATTTGAAATCACAAAACACCCATGTAAATGAAACTCGTGATCTTTTTATTCTAGCGAATCGATTCAGACTGATAAAATCTTAAACCACTTTCACAGCATAAATTACCACAAGAAGCTACAACTGTCCCCCAACCCCACCCACCCACCAACAGCAGATTAGGCAGCCCATGCCTAAGAAGCCATGGAGTGTAAATTAAGTGACCTGTAGATATGGATTCAGGGAGTTGCAAACAAAGGGAAGATCAGACAATTATAACAGGCCAGCAATGTCAAAGCAAAAATACCAAATTATCATTTCACACAGCAGTCCATCAGAAAATGATCTTTGAAATTTTTTTAATAACTTGAAAAAAAAAACATATTCAAAAGACCAACAAAACAGATAGACAAAAACTCTATCCATCTGCAGTGACCAGTGCAGGTGTAATGGACAGTAAAGAACACAGGTAGTAGATTGGCTGTAACTGAAAATATACCTAGATGATCTCTCATCTTATTACCAGTATTAACTATATATTGGCTGTTAACACCTCTTTGTCTTTATAATAACTGACAAATCTTTAAACAAAGTCTTGGCCCCTTGGTTTCTGCCAGGTATGAGGTCAGGTATTACAAATCAAATCACAGCACAAACCAATCCCCACATACTTTCACAGAACCTCTTAACTACAAATCAAATCTCTGCCAACTTCTTGAATTTGAAATAATTTTAAAGATCGCGCACCTCCCGAGTCTGTGAACGGTTGTGATAAGAAGCACATGTTACTTGTTTCCCTCTGTGATTTAGTGTGGCCGAATGTCACACAGAATATAAACAATATAGAATATGACCAACAACGACAAAAAGTATGATTTATATATTCCACATGAAGCATTCACTATGATGTATTTAAAAAAATATCTGTAATTTCATATGTGCAATATTAAACTGCAAAATATTACAATGAAAGGGAGTTCAGTTGCATCCAAGTATTGATCAAGTTCAAAGTTACAGAAAACAAATTGTGAAACATCACTTATGTTTGATATAGTCTGTCCAAGTGAACCATCATTACACTTTTTGTTTTTTTAATCTAATAATAAAAAGTGCCAAATTGAATTCCACTTATTATCTGTGAAAACAGATCAAGTGTATTTGTTTGCTTGTTTTATCACTATCATACAAAAATATCAAATAGTAAACAGACTTTTAGTAAATAGTTTTGTTTTTGGAACATACTTTTACATAGTAATTTTGTTTCAAACTTGCCTACCCTGTCTTTTTCTCTTTTTCTTTTGCATTGATTTATCATTTATCTATCAAATACAACTGTTACAGAAAACCATGCCTCTTGGTTTCAATTTTCAAAGAAAGTGACAACTTTAAAAAAATCTATATAATTAAATGAAGCAAAAATTCACCTGGGAACTTTTACTGACAATAATAAACCAACCCTTTAAAATCCCAGTTTGACAGGCTTTCCTTTCACTAGTATTCACCAAATGATTTCTGCCTGGTGACCTCTGACCTGTAAGAGCAGGAAGCCACTACTATGCCATTTATCATGGACTGGAATGGCTTCTACCACTAGGGGCAAATAAATCCATCACAACTGTTTGCTAGCAGGGTGTTTTTTCACTCCTTTTAGAAAATAGGAACATTTTCTCATTCTGGTCAAAAATTTGGAAAACTGCACATTATGACACATTTTTACACAACTACTGCTTGTTTTTCAGCCAACATAAACAAGGGATAAATACACCAGTCCCTTCCCTCTCAAAACACCTGTTAGCAATGAGCCAACCCATCCTCCCCTCCAGCACAATGGACTATCCCAGCCCAGGTCTGGTATAAAGCTGCAGCCCCTATGGCTTTGATCAGGTGCACTAAGACAGTACTCTGACCTCATACCTGGATGGACCGGTCAGTGCAGTAAGAGGGCAGTGAGTGGGCAGTGGTCAGGGACCAGTAAGATTAAGTCTAAGACTGAAAGGTGTAGCCATTTTCCAAGAAGTTACTGAGGATATTCTTTTCTTATACATTCCGCCTAGGACAAGATAAATGACTCCATGCAAAGTTGTGTCAGTGTACAGGTAATTTCAGTGGGAAGTGTTTGAGAAGTTGGAGAGAGGAGGAAGAATGAGCAGCTGAACCCAAAAAATCATTTTATAATACATGGGTTACCTTTTGAGCAAACTTCAAAGGATAAATTCAATGATACTGTAATATGATCATTTAACTCGAGCCTTTGATAAAAAAGATCCTGGTTAGATATTTTGAAGGAAAAGCGAACCTTGCATCACCTAAATGACACCTTTCACAACACAGTTGCCTGGGACTTTCATAGAACTATGAACAGTTTATATTTAGGAGTTTAGGGAGTGAAAACATTGGGGAAGAGCATCTGTATCTTTTCAGTGGAATGATATATGCCAGTTCCTGCCTGATGCCTGGACACATAAATAAGAGAAACAGCTGACACTTCTACTGATCTCATCTGGACGGGATAGTAGCGAGAGAGAGAAAAAGAGACAGAAGGAGAAAGATTTCATTTACCAGACGCACACACCATATTCCTGCCATTATGAAACCCTCCGCACCATTCCAAGTTCACTTTTTCTACGTGTTGCTTCTGTTTTTTGTCAAGTTGTGCTCTGGACGGTCAGTAGCAGACAAAGAGAATGACCAGATCAACCTGCTGGCGGACCAGACTGATAATGAGAGGGGTCAAAATGACCAGTACATGCACCCTGGGAATCTGGGTAAAGTTCTGCAGCACCTGCTGGGCCAGATGAAGATGATGCAGGCAGTCCAGGAGAAAGAGAGGTAAGACTTTCTTAATGACAGGCACCTACTCTGAGTCAACCCTGATTTTATGGTCTACTGGCATTTTTCTTCTGTAAAAAAACAAGTACAAACTTTTATTTTTGCAGGCCCATAAGAATAGAGGGGGGGGGGAGTGCAGTTCAGGGGGGTTGGAATTGGCTGGAAAAGGTCTGCTCTGCATTAAAATTTTATCTATATTCAATGCCATTTCTCAAGATGGATCTACAGAGGTGATAAAAGCCAACTTTTTCAGCAAAAGACTCTCATACCTTGGAAATAAGTAGTTATGGGGTGCTGCCAAGTAAGGATGGTTTTTCTCTTGGCTCACTTTGAGGACAAACGGGGTTCATAAGCAAGGGATGGGTTGAGAGGAGCAGCATTTGATATTGGGTCTGTGATAATAGATCTCATTTCCCCGTTACAAGGTGGCAACATCTGAGGTAGCACTGCAAAGATAGCACTGTAGGCAATACAAGTGGCAAGTTCTTATAATATGTTGTTGTACTTTGGTCAAATATAGAAGCGTAACCATTAGGCGTGTTTAACAGCATGAGTGATTGAGAGATAGGGGGTCTGTGAATAACAGATTTATGTAAAGAAACAGGTTAACACTTTGTGAATATATATCTTATTTGCTACAGCTAAATTTTCAGGCCCGTAGCCAGCAATTTCAAAAGGGGGGTTCTTTTCCCATAAAAACTTCATGTACCTAGATCTGATTTTACCCAGAGTGGACCTTTTCCCGGCAAAAGGGGCGGTTCTTTCAAACCCCCCGAACCCCCCTGGCTACGGGCCTGATTTTCTGTCCAAAATTGTCAGGATAAAAAAAATCATAACAAAAATTAAAAGCACTCAAAACTCTATGTACCACATGTACTTAGAACATGTTGGTTACTCAGGTCAAACAGTGACATTAAGGGTCTAAATATACCATTTATTGCACTATTAAGTTTGAAACTGGACATAACCCTAAGTCACTGTAACCAGGAAGGCTTAAATTCTACAAGTTGATCTGTGTATATTGTGTCTTGGCAGGGGGAAATGTACTAGTAGATCGATGTTTTAGATGTATGTTTTATGATAGTTCTGACTAGGTATGATGGCATGCTTACAAAAGAGCTGTCTTAGACTGGAAATGGGACTCCCTTAGCTTATTTCTTTACATGGCATTTAGCAGAGTCATGGTGTTCCTTAGTAATCTGGGAACAGTTTCATGAAGCCCTCATCAGCAAACAGCTTTTCATTGTGTGATTCATTTACTTTAAACCACCAACTTCTAAAATACATATAGGTGTATGACCGATGATACTGCAGAGACAAACAAAAGCTCAAAATGGCTTCAAATACCCAGTTTTAGAAAGTCCCACTGTCTAAATGATTTTTCTGTGGAAATAGCTGGAGAAAGTATCTATTTGTCAAATTCAATTGCATGGCTCAAAGCACATTGTCAGAAAAACTTTAATCAATGTAGATATAGATTAGTATCCGTTTAGTGAAATTTAATTTTTAAAAGTACATGGTCTTTGCAGGCAAATAGCCCAGATTTGAATGGTATAAAAAAAGTTGGTGAGAAGGAACTGAATCTGATTTACTAACCAAGTGTGATAGCATCGTGAACTTACATGATGACATGTATTACTGGCAGCAATAATGGTTACCATTCATTAGATTTAAGTTTAGTGGCATTGAAAGTGACAGGAAATGAATGGAATTAGTGAATTAGTAACCTTACACTGCATGAAAACAGACTGTTGAATTTGCCCCGAAGACAAAATAAAATGCAAACAGAAATAAATTGAGATTGAAATTGAGAATTTGAAAGAGTAAACAATTGTTTGCCACATGACAAGGATACAGGGAGTTATGTGTTTGTCGCATGCAGGGGAAGTGTGTGTGTGTGTGTGCGTGCAAAGGTGCACGTGTGTGTGTGTGATTGAAAGAATATAGGTAATTTAATATAATAAAGATTACAGGCAACATAATGAAATTACTTGCAGGTTGTTCAGGATGCCATGTTACTTCTAAAGATAATGCTAGCATTTTAAATGAGCAATAATTCCATTATTTTTTTCTTGATAGAGGATTCATTTGATATGTCCTATTCCATCATACTCATACATTGCTACGATGCTGGATCGAGTAACCTCATATTTCACCTGTAATTATTTTGTGCAGAAGAATAACACCTTCTTTAATCTAAATGTTGTATAATGCCCTTCTTCCCATCCTTTGAAAACTCCAGCATAGAGAGTTGCTGTTTCCACATATTTATCTGTTCCCTCGTCAAAACTGGAAATGTTTATAGTCTTCTTATTTCAAAGTCTAAATTGATAGTCATAACAATGCATAGCAAAAAAGGCCAAGTAACAGTATAAAGCACTTGATGCCTTTTAACCTATCATCTACAACTCATTTAATAAGACCCAAGCCAAAAGCTTTTAAAGGGTTTTAATTTATCACTTTTTTATTTAAATGAAAAAAAAATCAGCAATTGTTGAAGAGTCATCAATCATCTTGTAGATGTTTGTCAGCAAGATTACAGACAGTCTAAGATTGCCTCTGTCTATATCAGTTAAGGGAAATGAAGACTTGTTTGTAAATCTGGCTTCTACGTCTGATCAATATCTGACCTGTGAATGAAATCAAGCAGGGATTCTTGCTGGGCTACTATGGCTTCACTCTTCTTTCATCAGCACCATACAAATAATCTCTTGAAAGATACTGCTTAGATCAACAAATTAACAAACAGAAATTATTTTTTTCTGAAATATCACACTAAAAGTTTTGTATTGTCTTCATTCATTAATTTCAAGACGGAGCATGCTATAGCCAGGTGCTAAAACAAAATTTGGCTAGCTACATTGTAACATTAAAACTCATGTAAGTACAGTGCACCATTGTTAGACATCTAGAATAAAAAATAACTTTAAAGAGAAACACTTCAGTGATAGTATCTTGAATTTCAACATCAAAGCCCTCATTTTTTATTCATACGGCAGTGGTCAGCCCTGTGAAGCCCGACCAGATCTGAAGTGAAACATGAAATTTGAGTTCCTTGAATTAATCCAGTTAACATCTGTCTAAAATTAAGAAAATATGAGGAATATTACTCCTGGAAATGCTGTAGAGGGGCCCTTTGTTAGCTCTATTGCCCTTGAAATGTATAGACAATATGACTACCAATTACAGATCGATGCACTCTGGCAACATTCTGTGTCTACAAGTAGCCCTTAATATAATGTTGATAAGTAATATAACTGTTAAATTGACCAAATTGTCTGTAATGTCTTTATTTCTTACATACTAGACAAAGACATAAAAGAAAATATCAGATCACTTGTTTAAATATAATTAAATATTACACTTGCTCTCTATAAAGATTTATTGAACTAGAGTTGTGGTTGAGCTATAATTATCGCCCACCCGCAGCACCTTTTATTTGTTATGTCTCATTTTATTGGCCATATTTTTGCTGCAATGGCTACCTTAGGTATAGACAAACCAGTATATAAGTTATTTTGTTAAATCAAAAGCTACCCATTGGTTTAATAGTGAGGTGATAAGAAAATAATATTGTGGTTTTTAGGGGAAATAATTTCCAAATTTAACTCTCATCTGGTCTCCAGTTTTCTCTGCTGTTAATTATAATATACACACGTTCATGCACATACACAGTCTTTGCCGTGTGGTTAGTTAAAACAACCTGAATCCAATATTTTCATAATTGTCGGTGAATGTCATCAGGAAATGAAGCTTGTAACTAACCTCCTGCACCAGACAGACTAGGGAATTTACTGAATGAAAACAGTTTTCTCCACTTGGTGGTCTCTCTATCATGTGGTCCTGATTGCTCCCCGCTGGGGGGCCACTAGAGGTCGCCACAAACAAACATGGCATGTGGCTAGAAAAACCAAACCTAATTACAAATCATAATTTACATCTCTTCTGAGGTGTACGGAAACAAGACAGGTGAAGTGAAAATATTTAATGGGTGTGGTTCTTCCTGAAAAAATACGAAAATCTGTAAATATTATTTCTTGTTAAGTGTAAAACCAGGTTTTCATCAAAGAGTTATTTTTTGGATTTGCCATGTCGTTTCAACATTCTAATTGACAGGCCAATATCAACATAGCATCAACACAGAAAACTATTGATTGTACAAAAAAAAGAGTAATTTTTAATGCTGTAACTGTCATTAAAACAAAACTTCAAAGGTTATTTTGCATACCAAACTTCACAAATCCTTCAAATAAACCATTGTACATACTTCAAGTTCCACAAACTTCTAGTTGTGCTATGCAGGTCAGTTATATCACTTGCATCCTTTAGAACTTAAATTTAATATTTCATCATCTTGCACATTGGATCCATAGCATTAACGAAATAAAACCTCTTTCAGAAAAGTTTGACCTTTGTAACATATGCCTCATATTTGTAGACATTATGCTATGAACATTTATGTATTTCAAATGCCAACTGGGGCACAATAGAGAAGAAAATTCAATTTAAATTTGAACTTTTATACCCTATTTAAATTAGTTTAAATGAGGTAAAATTGTCTGCAAACCCAAACATAAATGAGATGGAGACGAGTGTTATAAATAGTTTATGGGAGCACTTCGCACAACTCCCATCATTACCATTTGTGTCAGTATCAGAAAAAAATTCTTCAAAATCTTTTTTGCTAATGGTTGACATGAAGTGGTGGATTAGCACGGCTCTCTCCCATGCTGCGCTTTCTTCTGCGACAGAGCACTTTAACTGTTCACTGACCCCTCAAATCTAATCCAGCTACAGTAACACTGCTAAAAAACTGACCATATTGAAGTAGTCAGCTTTGTGTATCTGTAAACCAGAGTGCGACAGCCAATTTTTTCTCACCTCATTCAATAAAGCAATAAAGAAGTTCCATTGTTTTATTTATTTTTCACACATGCACACTTTTCTTCTTATGTAATGACTTTATGGACAGAAATTTAATTTTTAACCAGTTTAAAGGGAACAATAGTATTGTCACTCCAATTGTAAGTTGGTGAGAAATACTCTATTAAATTAAATTCTGAATTTTTTCAATTTCACAATTTCCCTATTTTCAAGTTATAAAAACATGTCCCAGTATTCCCTATTCACCTTTATGATTAAAAGCTTAAATTCTGAGCTATACTATTCTGACTATTCTTATTATTTGTAAAGTGTTGCTTAATTTCCATTCAATTGATCAAAAGTTGACTGCTTTTCTCAAAATCTTGTGCATTTTCTAAAGAGTCATACTTTAAAATTTTAAAAGTATAAATCCAAGTAAAACATATATATATATATATATATATATATATATATATATATATATAATTGGTTAACTTATATAATAGGAAGCTCCTAACATTTTTTTCATTTTGAGAATTTATGAAAATTACATAAAATAAGTTACACAAAAGATAAAGAAAAGGAAAATAATGCTACTTTTAAAGAAAAAAAAATGAAATGCAAATAAACTGAGCATTAACAGAATATGTTGTTTCGGTGACTCTTTTATATATACAATAGCCAATTGATTTAAAGTTGTCAATCTCTCAAAAAAAAGACCAGTCCAGTTAAGTTTACTGCACGTCACATAAGGCAGGATGTGAAAAGTGGGTTTAGTATGTGTGGCTGCTTTCCAGTTCTAAATACAGCAAAATACATGCCCTAGGCAGTTTTACACTAAATCATGGCAGTTTTAAACCAAATCATAGTGCAATTCTGTTCTCATAAGAAGATTAATACCACTTGTCCTGTGATGTGACCAACTGGATTTGGTGTGTATTTTTAGCCACTAAACCAGGTGCTCTTTGTTTGAATTTAAGAGATATTTGCTGTAAAAACATTTTTTTCACTGAGGATTTTTTATACGACAACATTAACTGTTTGACATTGTTTTTTTACAGTGGAAAGTCAAAATTACACAAGTTATATCATCCTCTTGAATGTTGATAAACATATTTTGTTAGAGAAGCCAGTCACATCCCAACACACTCAAATTTGAATAAACATAATACGTCACAATATAATTAATGGCAATTTTCTTTTCAAAATATCTCAACCTTTCTGTGTGTTTAGTTTTCATGGCCACTTGAAGCGGCTTTCACTCACAATCATAATGCCATTATTAAATTAAATATTAAATTTGTTTATATTACTGTCACGTTTCAGGACAGTGCTGGCAGGACTAGAATCTGCAGTGGCTGCTCAGGCCAGAGAGATTGTGATGTTGAGAACTAAGGTGATCGCTCTGGAGAACCTTCGCGGGGAGAATAAAGACAGTCTGGAAGAACTGACCAAGCAGTCGGCCAACCAGGGCTGGGGAATCATGGACCTTAAAAACCAACAGACGTACCTCTTTGGAAACCTGACAACGATACGCGATAGAGTTGACAACTTGGCACAGGAAGTGCAGTCCAACAACACCCAAACTGCACACAGGATTAATAAGAGGTTGAGTTTGTTGGAGAAAGACATGAGAGATCTCAGAACTGGGGTTATAAAGGATAAAACTGTTCTTAAACAGCTTCAGACTGGACTGCAAAGTTTTATATATGAAACAGAAGAAAAAGAAGACGATAAAACTACGACTGTTGTAACCTCATCATCATTGCCACCTACAACAACAACAACAGCATCAACTACATTACCATCTTCAACTTCGTCATCATCCAACAACCCTTCATTCCCCTACTCTGTATATAAACCGTCTTTCTCAGGCAGCGATAGGTTAAATGTGATAGCAAATGTGAGGTATGCACCTGAGGAAGAAGGGTCAGGAGACATTTCTCCTCTGGATGCCATTTTGTCAAAATTGGAAGAAAAAGAAAATACAATAGACAACAAAATTCACCACCTCACCCAATATGAGAGAACAATAAAGGAGGAAGTTACAGGAATGCACAAACATGTACAGCAACAAGATAGCAGTCTATTAAAACTAGAGGACTTGATCAACAACGTTACACTACAGCTCACCAATGTAAAGAATAGTGTGGAAAATGACCAGAAGGTGGAAGCTGTCCAAGATGAGCTGAAGCAGTTGAAGGGAAAAGTCAATAATATCAGTCAACAGTGGCAATATAATAAGAAAGCCTTTGTTAATATTAGCGTGGAAAGTAAAAAGCAACTGGAGAATCTCCTCCAACTCATTCAGCAGAACAGTGAGGAGGGAGAATCCATGAAAACTCTCTTCACAGAGATGAATTACGAGAGCACACAGAAATACAACTACCTTCGCAGCCAAATAGACGTTGTTGGTTTTGACTTCAAAGAAATAAAACACAAGCTGCAATACATGAACAGTCAGGCCAGTAACGCCATATCTGAGATAGGAGAAGACTTCCACACACTTCGTAACCAGTACAACTCAATTCACGATCGCCTCGCTCATGTAGAGGTCAAAGTTCTCAACGCGTCTCTCATTTCATGTCAGAAATCCAATAGGGACTGGCTGCAGGAGTCAAAGCTGATAGAACTGGAGAGGGAGCTCTCAGAGACCAATAACAAAATAGAAGATGTTGAAGACAATGTGAAACGTGTTCAGAACAACCTGCAGCGTGTGTATAAGGAATTCTCTGCGAAGAGCACTGTAATTGATGAATTAGTGGTCCAAGCAGATAACATCACAAGTCAGCTTCCTATGTTGTTACATGTCCAGAAAGAGGTCAATAATTTTGTTATGGATTTACCCACTGGTAAGTTACTAAATAATAATAATAATAATAATAATAATAATAATAATAATACATGTAGTACATTAAATGTTCTGACAAAATATTCTAATGATTTTAATGCCAAAAAAGAATATGTTTCTGTTTTAACATGTCTAACAACTCAGTTTGATGATGTATATGCAAACCATGTACAAACATCTCAATAGTCGTTAATATCCCCTAAATTTAGATTTCTTGTGTCTTTTTAGACTGCCAGGAAAAGAACTACAATGGAAACCAGCTGACGGGTATTCACCTCATCAAACCTGTGAGGAGTCGTGAATCTCTACGTGTATTCTGTGAAATGGACAAAAATGGCGGATGGACATTCATCCAAAGACGCCTGGATGGATCTGTGGAGTTTGGTCGGCCATGGAAGGAATACAAGGCAGGGTTTGGGGATGAGCAAGGAGAATTCTGGATTGGAAATGAAAACTTGCACTTTTTAACGTCCCAAACTAATTATACTTTGCTTATAGAAATGTGGGATATATATAGTAATTACTGGTATGCCCAATATGACTACTTCAAAGTTGACAACGAGAGTAACAAATATGCCCTCCATGTTGGAGGTTACCATGGCAATGCATCAGACTCGCTGTCATACTCCAATAACATGGCGTTCAGCTCACTGGACAGAGACAATGATGCCAGCAGCACCCACTGCGCCAAGTTTTACACCTCTGGCTGGTGGTACAAACACTGTCACTATAGCAACCTTAACGGGAGATATAGCATAGGGATTGTGTGGTTTAATCACGAGAGAGACGAGTGGATGGAAGTGAAAAGAGTGAACATGAAAGTACGACCCTTACGGTCCTCAATATCTGGTGATGTTAGTTGATAATGGTATTGTGTCAGAACTTTATTTTTCATTTTGTCAGTATGAGTATTTTTGTCCATGATCTGTGTTGAAAGAATGAAACGATAGACTGCCACAAAGTTTGCCAATATTCTGTATGGTGAGGTCATTTTAATGTATGAGATATAATGCATCTTGTGTATCTTTTTATTTTGTCAAAGTCGTGTAGCTTAGAACTTGTCGCGTGAATGAATGAAGTGCCACAGTTTTGCCAATACTTCTGTACATGAGTGACTTTGTAGTTAGATAGTAGTAACCTTGGAGCAGCTGTGAGTGTAGTAAACCACCCCTCTAATAATTTACACAGAATTAATGACACGTCATAATTCTTCAATTAAAGTGAAAATAACAAGTGTTCCTGGTGTACTATATATAAGTATATCAGTAAATGGTATCAAGATTGACTAGACAACTGCCGTCCGTTTATTACATTTCTATGAAATAAAATGTATGTATATATAGAAAGTGGGCATATTGTTTTTGATGGAAATGATAACTGTGATCTGAACACATGTGGCGATGTGTCTTTACTGCCAATATTTCACGCAGTAACAACATGTCTTCTCATTTCATTAACTTCCCTTAAAACCAGCCACATGGATGCTACTTCTAAAATATTACTGTCACTTCAATGGGCACAAACTACTACACCGCCTTCCTTATCACTTAAAAATCCTTTAAATAAAGGATCAAATGTCTTGAAGAGGAAAGGGGCATATATCAAAAGAGTGAAAACAATTTGTACAACTTTTTTTTCCAAATAAATCAACACCTATCTCTTTAAAGGAAAAGGAAGTGGGGAATTTGTTTTCAATATTCTGTAAACCATACCTCAAAAGGCACCCTGTCTCTTTAAAGAAAACTTAAAGGGAAGTGGGGGTTCAGCTTTCAATCATGGGTTTATAAAACCATACCTCAAAGGGCACAGCGTCAAAAAAGATGGGTAGGAACCAGTTGAGGGTGACGGTACTGATCTCTATGTCCAGCTCCTCCAGGTGCTGCCAAAGTTGGGGTAGCTTCTCTCTCAGGAACTCCTTCAGCACCTCTTGGTCTGCCTGGGCCCCCACTAAATTGTGGTCAAAGTAGTTCGGACTGAAGTACTTCTCTGTGATGGCCACCAGGGTCCTAGAATGGAGAAAGGATGTTGAGTTCAAGTTTATGCCATTTTATTTTAGTCAAAGTGAGAATTGTAATTTTCCATATACTGGTATATCATGGACTACAATTCCAAACAAACATTTGCACACTCCACACAGTAATAAATACAAGGAATGGTATTGTTCACCCTGGCAAAGTGCTATGATAATTGTCACTATATAATATTTCACTGAAGTTAAAACTCCACAAAATGCTTCTCTGTCAATGTTAACAATAACATACAACAATATAAAAGAAGTTTCCTTTGCAACAGGTGATAAAAACGGCAATAACTATGCAGAGTTCATTTTTCTATCCAGAACTGTTTAAAACGTACCAGAAAGCATCTTCGGCCTCCATAAACAGAAGAGCCATCCCAACAATGAAATTCATCCCCTGGCAATACCCTAGCTGAGGATTGTGGACGCAGAAGGCTTGGAGCACCTCCCGCATCTTCTTTATCTGAAAATATTACATAAAATGGGGTTTACTTCTGATTTCCATACAAAAAACATGATGTTTGTTCTAAAGATAAATCTGTTTGTACAGTTAATTTCAATAAAACTAACTTTGCAGGGTGAAAATTAACTTACTGAAAGGGTTTCTATACAAGCTGATAAATTAAAAGATATTAAAAGGTTGACCACACACAAAAATACATCTTTCTCATTGGGAAATAAAAATAATACCCATGTTAATCTTATATTCAGAAATAAGAAATAGTGTATGTAGAATGGTGTGCAAGTGACATACCCCATCTGATGTGGGACTGCTGAAGTGGATGTTGTTGGGCATTGTCCTCATTAAATCCAGAGATATTTGTCTCAGGTACCTGTTAGCATTCTGAAATATGACAATGGCCATACTATACATAACAGGGAACTATTAAGACAGTATTCAATATAATATAAACCAAAAAAAAAATGATGACAAAAGTCTGCATGTTGACAAGGAATACCAAAATACAATACATTGTTTAACTCCTAATATTTTATCATACTATTCCTACTTTCTGCTAACATCAATGATTTCTTACATTTTACACAAAGACAATTTTATGATGATTAACCATTTACTTTACAAACAAATCCAAAATCATTTGCTTTTTCAATGCCATGAACTTCATTCCTGTATCCATGCACAGTGCATACGTGCAGGCATACCTGAATTGTGTGTGTGTGTGTGTGTGTGTGCGTGCGTGCGTGCATGCGTGCGTGCTTGCATGCATGTTCATACTGACCACAGAATCTGGCATCATATTACAGACATTCTGGTAATAATGGGGTCCCTTGGTCTTGACCAGGTCCTGCACCTGGTTATATATTAGCTGAGTCCACACCTCGGCTCTGTGCTGGGGAGGAATACCTGCCCTACACAGGGTCTTCAACTCTTTCTGAAAACACATAGATGTACTATATATGAATGATCATTGACAGCTTTGTTCAATTTGATTTAGTAAAACTGAATTAAATTTATACATTAAGCTTAACAGAGGGTTTTTAATTTTTCCATTTATGAATAATTTTAACAGGAGACAACTAATTATTCAGATTACAAGAAAGATTGATATATTTTGTTCAATTGTCTAATGCGTCAAACAAAAGTTTAATTAATAAAATATTGCTTAGCTGCAAAAATCCAGAGTTAACTTAATTGTGCCATACACCTTAATGTTATGACTGGTTAAAGGATGAGACTTATCCCAACAACAAATGGAATTCTAACACAATGCTTTTTCGACACAACCAAGCACATCTACCACATTCAAACTGTCCCACTCACAGTTTTGGTCAGGCTGTGTCTGTGCAGCTTAAGGTAGTCTCTCCAGGCCTGCTGGTGCTGTTCATAAGACTGTAACTGGTGGCAGTAGTGCTGGTACAGCTGCGTGCACACAAAGTGCTGGATGAGACTGTCGTTTTCTGGTCTCTGCTTAAAACCGTAGCTGTCTATGTGGGCCTCGCCTTCTTGGAGCCTGGGGGATTACAGGGGGATTACAATGTTAGTTGACATACAGTTAACAGTGTGGATAAAAGTTTGCTAGTTCACGTATGATCACAGTGTTAATTGTGTGGATAACACTGTGTTAGTGCTGATATACAGTTATAGAGTTAACTGGGTAACATTGTGTTGGCATACAATCACAGAGCTTAGTTTGTGGATCACATTGTATTATTTTATATAGCATTCCCATAGCTGAGTTGAGGTTAAGCCTATATAGATGTGTTAATTACCCTGCTAGTTAGATAACATGCTTTGGCAAAGGCTTTTTACATTGTGTTAGCGGAGACACAATCCCAGAGTTAGCTGTGTTGATAACATTGTGTTAGTTGAGATAAGGTCTCAAGAACTGTGTTAATTAGATTGGGTTTGTTGAGATACAGTCCCCAGAGTTGTGTTTTTTTTAACATTGTGCTATAGGGCTGTATTGAGATGCTAACCCTAAAACTAAATGTGTAAATTGGATTGACTTGAGATACGGACCTGGGAGCTATGAAAAGTTGAGACATGTGTCATCCACAGCTGTGGGAGATCAACAAGTGGAGATTAACTATCTACAGCTAATAATGTTATAAAGATATCAGAAGTGCTGTCAGCAAAGTTGGGCCAATCTATCTTGAAGAAACCCATCCGCAGTACTGCAGCCACTTTTGTCTCACTTTATTCAATATAGAGGGCAGTGTGCCAATGCCGGGACCACCATAGACAGCAAGACTACTCCTTCCACTGTCACTGTAATTGAAGTTGTGTTAATATATGAAGCATTCTGGACCCAGGCTGAGAAATGTGTGTGTGGGCGTGCGTGCGTGTGTGTGTGTGAGTGCGTGTGTGTGTGTGAGTGTGTGTGTTTGAGTGCATGCTTGAGTGTATGTGTGAGATAGAGAGAGAGGGGAAAAAAGCTAAAAAGATCACGAGATGAAAGCAAGTGCCACTTTCATAAAATGTTTGATAACTAACTCTACCTGTCATAAGAGGGCAGACTGGGATTAGATTTGTGTGCCTCATCCAGCAACTGCCTCAGTCTCACTTGATGCTGGTTAAAAAACAAAACAGAGTGATAACAATATAAATGAAACATCTATAAAACAAAAAATTGACACAATGGTGATCACTGAACATCACAAATAGTGTTAAAAAGGGTCCTAGATGTGTGGAATGCTGAAATTATTTAGGGTGTTCCATGAAGCACCCCATTTCCATGCCTCATAAATGTGGCTTTTTATTCTGTGTCCTTCGTAAAACAAAGTCTTTATACTTGGGGATTCTTGATTTACAATTCACAAGACTCACATTTTCAATGAGATATGACTAAAGTTTTGCTTGATGTGATTTGTGATTTAAGGGCTTTATTTCTGTGATCATTACCCCCCCCCCATGGGACCCCCTTAAAATATGAGAGATTTCCAATATATCATTTTTATCAATGATAATAACTAACTCACCCTGTCTCCTCCATACAGTTTTACTTCATATTCCTCCACCAAGTCCCCGTCAGGCATCCTAATGGTAGACTGGAGCACAAACAAATAGTCCCTCTTCCATTGGTCTATCTCTGCCTCAAGGCAGTGGATTTTTCTGAAGGATCAGAAAATAAGGAAAATATATTAAATTATGTAAAAAAATACAATAAAGATTACAAAATAAATTGACAAAAAAATTTAGACAAATTTAGATATTTTACATAATGCATACCATGTGATAACATATGTTACTGATCCATAAATTTCTGGAAATCAAATGCTGCCCACCATTCATTTAAGACCATTTTCCTGAAAGGCCCCCCTCTCTTGTGTTCTGTTTAACAAAAAAATTAAGAACAATTTGTCACTTACTTCTCCTGGTCCTGAAATTTCTCCCTCTCAAGCTGCCTGAGGTTCCCCAGTTTTTTTACCTCCTCGTTCAGAAACCGGTTCTGGTTCTGCAGCACCCTTGTCTTCTCCTGGAGCTTGGCATCAGGCTTAGAACTGCAGATAAAGAGGAAGCATGCTGTTAACAACTTTTGGTATGAGCTCAGAAGTGTGACGGGGTTTTTAATATCTCTTGCTTAATGACAGAAAAAAAGAGATAAAGAGCCAGTCATGCGATCCAGGCAGTTTGATGCAGGTATGATAAAACCTTATATGTAGAAAAACATGTCTGGTTAATTTTTCAATGATTTATATTTTTCGAACATTCAATACAGTTCATATATTTTACTGCCTTCTAAGGTACAGTTATTGCAATATAATGACATCCCGTTTTCTAAAAAAAAACACAGGTTCATATTAACTGTCTTAATTTTATGTGCATACACATCTCTACACCAATTTTAATTTTCCTCTCTCTACAGGTGGGAAAATCCATTATTTGTTCATCTTTGAAAACATAAAATCTAACAGTCAACTTAATAGTATCTCCTTTTATAAATTAATGTCTGCAATGTATCCCTTTCTACTTCCTCACAACAATTAAAATTTTTGACCTCTAAAAGATTTACCTCTTCCCTTTCTCATTGTCAGCAGTCACCTCTTGCACAACTTCCAGTCTGGCAGCGTCTTTCCTCTCCAGTGCCTCCCTCAGCTTGCTCTCCTGGTTTAAGGAACAGGCAAGCTCTGCCTTGACCTTCCTGATATACAATGCATATTGTTAATCTGTGACTCTAAGATACCACAAGGACTATTTCAACATTTAAAAATTGCAAAACAGAAATATATAAATCATGTTCAAAGGTTGTAATATAAAAATGGTGTTAAGACTTGTTTTCATTCCATGAATCAACCCAATATAAAGTATTCACAGTTCTTTTGTTAAATAAAATCAATACCCCAGTTGTTAAACTGAATCACAAAGACGTAAAGGTGCCTACATCAGCTCTCTCTCCAGCTCCGTCACTCTTCTGTCTGAGTCAATGGCAGAGTCGCTGGAACCACTGGCACTGAAATGTTAACTGGTAGAGTTAATTCCATCAGGTAGTGTATAAATATGTTGACAAATTGCATATAACCAGACCCCTGTATAACTCCTTTTCAATTGTGACTTTTGTTTATTCAACATAAAACTCAGTTTTACAAGGCAAATTATTTTAGATGTATAGCTTATGTATTCATTGGCTAAATAAATCTTTATATTATCTTTATCTCTTATTTTCAGGCCAGCTTTAAATACACTGTGCACCTGCATGCAAAATAGGTTTTAGAGCCAAAAATATATATCAAAAGACAGAAATTAGATCCATTCTAAAAATAATATTTCACACCCCAAAAAAATGCTATCGTTTAAATGTTGCCATATTGAAAAATGATAATGCAAAAAAATACAACTTTGACAAATCAACAAAAATCGAAGTGTTACTACTGCTTATACCTTCTCTCGCTCCCTTGCCTATGCCTGCCCTCTCTAGCTATCCCAGCATCCTCTGTGTGCAGAAAAGCATCGTCACTCTCTCCACTGGCTCCACTGCTCCATTTTCTAGAAGCAGACGATGCTGAAGAAGTCAGCTGAAATGATGGCGCAGTCAAGCTGTGTGCATCTGGGGACAACAATGGTGGCACTGAAACAAATAAAAAGTACTTCTAAGCTGAATTACAGTATTAACTAATTTCAGAAGAGTGGTCATAAAATATTTCTGTATAGATCGATTCAGCATTTTTCTCTAGCCTAACAAATTGATGCTGCAACTTCATGCTGCAACTTGTATTTTCATGTATAATAATTCAGTACACTATGTTGAGGCATAATATCAGCCAGCTGTAGACTGTCTTGTGAACAGAGACATTTACATCGAGACCAAAAGGAGACCATAGATCCTCTAACCCTTCTCTTGTTTTATGCTGGTAGATTGAAATGCAGCCCTCTGTAAGTGCATACCCAATCTTAAAACATTACTAAGGAAGTGAAGATGAGGGCTTCAGCAATTACCTAGTAATGCATAGTAGCATACGGGCACTTATCTGAGTGCTTTTTCTCTTATATCAGCCTTATAATAGTTCATCTGTAATGGTATTAAAATCTGAAGTGCTTGTTAGCATATAACACTCACTTGAGGATAAAAATTATGAAATGTGATAAAAGAAATTAGAAACACTATATAACCTAAGACATATTTGTCAATGCAATGTCAAATTGTATTTGGCCATACAATTTGAGATGTAAGGGCGAAATATTTAGTTAAAACACAAAATGCACCATACTCTGCATGCAAATTAGTATCTGTAGTATAAAAAAATTGATACTTTTTTGAAATCTCAGATTTAGAAGTATTTGAAAATCAATGCAAATCTTATCTAATTATTGTTCTTTGTGCTTTTGTTAAGGTAACAAAAGCATTTGCCTGCTGTGTGGATGCCAAATACAGTAATGACTATCTTTCCAATGGAGAAGAAACGATCATCTTTCATATACATGATTTTGGAATCATTAAAAATTTCTGTGAAACATTTGTGGTTTTACTGCATAGAATAATAGAACTATAAGGTAGTCTGGTTTTCATTCTTTGCCACCACTAAATAGCAATGTTCTAATTCAATTAAAAAATTTATGACAGAATCTGTAAAATTCACAAAAAATGTTGTCATTACCATAAACTCTGTCATCTCAGGTGTCAGATGTCTACTAGTAAAAACTCACACAACGTGACAAAAATTACTTGGAGACAAAGGTATGCCTTTACCCACCTGCAAACTGGCGTTCCTCTCCATATCCTGTGTCTATGGTACCAAACCTCTGGAACCTCAGGCGGAACACATCTCTTCTTTCCCTCATGGAGGAACACCTCACAACAGAGGAATGAGTCGTCTCCATGTCATTCACCAAAGACTTGCTTTCTGAGAGACTCTGCAATAATTAAGTGTGTATAAAATAAGCTGCACGTTCTCTGCAATAATAAAGTGTGTATAAAACAAGCTGCACGTTACATGTATACATGTAGCTGTAACTTCTGATAAGGCAGCTGATAGGGCTCGACATAAAAACAGTTTGGTCGAGCTGAAGTCTTGTAGAAAACCAAACACAAAAAAATTAAAACATCAACTTGTATGCCAACAATTAACAATTTGATTGCAAATCTTCCACCATCTATTTTTGTTGACTGAATTGCCAGAAAAAACTTCTCATGTTTGGTAATTGATGTATACCACACTGGTCCGAATATCTCATTGACAATGAAGCAAAGAATGCACATGCATCCACAAACATGTGTTTCTCTAATCCACACACACGTATTTAGGCGTACATTCAGCATATCAGGTATATATCTAATTCTGCGTAAGCTTTTTACACTGCCACCATCCAGGCACTTCTAATACTACATAACAACACCATGAATAATATATCTATGTCAGGTACTATATATCCACAACATTATGACACATCACTAGATTGTGTAGTGTATATAGAGATTGACTGTGCATATTACAAACCACACAGCAAGTAGTATGGTCACATTCAGGAGCTGAGAAAATCATCATGATCATTTCTGCTTATCAAGGTGGAAGACATACCAACCATCACAGAAACTTATGCATTTATCATATTGAAACATCATCATAACAGAAAATGTGTGTAATTCATGGCTGCTATATAAATAGCACACACTGTTCCTTCCCCTTCCCAAATAGATAGTACACACTGTTCCTTATCCTTACCCAGTCTAATACATACCACACCTTGTTCCTTACCCTTTCTCTGCCACATGCTTCCCCATCACTGACGCTGTCAGAGCTGGACTCTCGAAGCGCTCTCTTCACATAACTGTCTCTCTTGGCCTAAAATAACACAGGTTACAGAAAGGTATAATGACATCAACCAGTACTAGTATATACTCATGATAGCATATTAACATTTTGATGGTTGTACAAAATAATTATAATCCATTATTTCCCTCAATCCCCTCCCCAAGGTGAAATCAGTTGAATAATTAGTCTAGTTACTGGACCAATATTGACAGTATGCTTAAATAAGTCAGCTTGATAAGACCATTTTCTCTGATTCAGGCCATACCACATAATATGCTGGCCTTCATTTGCTAGCAATATACTTGTAGGCCTGTATGGGATGATGTGAATCAGCAAAGATCTACTGTGTGCTCCAGATACTATTCAGTCACACATGATCAGAAACTTGTCACGTGTGTTCACTGGTGCATAGATGACCTTGACAAATAATTAACTTTTCTTGCTTTACCTTTCATCAGAGCCATTAAAACACCATTTTCATCTTTAATTCATTTCATTTGTAATTACCGGTACTTATTCCAAGGCCATGTCTGTTTCTAGAGACATTGCTCTTTTGTAACATTAAATGCTCTTTTGTTTGAAACCTAAAGCTTAAATTAAAATATAAAACCTGCATCCATCTATGGTCTTTTTATTTAACATCACTATTATTATGCATCTTTTTGCATTCTAACTGGTTCAGAGAAAATATTTATTTGTGCACCCTCTATTGTTTTTCACAACATATCTCTGATACAAAGTTTAGGCTTGATTGTGAACACTTAACACTCATTCCCTGCAGTGGAAGCATTTCATCATATATATAAATTATAATTGTTTTGACTTGACTCAATGAAATTTCTGAAAAAAAAAAAAAACTTTTTTCAAGATCACAGAATACTCTAGCTATGATGTACATAAAAATATAGAAGATATAAAAACCTTCACTCAGTTCAAGTTTTTGTCTGACGCCTTTTGTGATAACACCTGGTTATGTGCATGCTGGTTGTGCCGCATTAAGGCCATGAAAAATGTAGAGGGCAGCAATGTGCTATGGCCTTCAGCTGGGTTCATAGCAACGAAACAGTAATCCTATTTTATAATAATGTAAATGATATGGAGTCCTAAACTGCCACAAAAGATAGATTCCATAATGGTCTAAAATTCGGGGTGGCAATCCTCATGTTGACAGTTAACCACATCAAGTCTCACCATTAAGATATCTTATTTCCAGCCTGACTATAACTTTCAAGACATTTAATTTCAGGGGAGATGGACAATATTTGACTGTGCTTAACATTTTACAATCACGCATCACAAAATGACCATAGTCATCACCAAGTCTTGCACCATTGTTTCCTTTGTCACACGGACACAAAAGGGCTGCCCAACCCAACTATCAAGTGACAATAGCCACCGATTCCCTTACAGGTATTGTGTCACGGGGTCAAAGACAGTTTACAGCAGCTTAATTGAAGGTGACAGGACAGTGAGAGTAAAGCCCACCTGAAGACCCAGCAGCCATATCATCATCGACTCATGGTTGTCAGCTGTAAGGTAGAACTCTTTGCCCTCAATGCTGAAAGAAAAATCAAACTGGTATTCATTCATGTATGTAATAAACAAAATATTGCTGGTCTTCATAGTTTTTTATTTTAACTGTAAATAAAAATATCACAATCTTGACTTGATTAAATAGTATTACTGAAAATATAAATATGTGCTCTTAAAGAGTAGCTCTCACTCTCCATTCTTCTATTACTAAAATGAGTTTGAATTCATTGCTGTTAATTTGGCAAGCTCTCGGTGAAGATTACAATTGAAAAAGATATCTATATTTCAAAATCATTTAAACATTACAGTAACTGTCTTTTCTTATTAATTCATATTTAAAGGTCTTTGCTAAAATCTGGACATACCTAACAATAAACTGATTATTCTGATCTAAACTCAGAGAGATGGTGGCATCTTTTATATCAACGCTATCAGTGGGTTTGCTCTTTTTTGCCTCGTTTGCATTTTTAAAGCACAGCAATTTTCCTTGGCTGTCATCAAAAACATACCAATAACGCTTCTTGGGCTTTATACGACCAAATGCTGTAAAAGGAAAAAATATTTCAATTTTATAAGCACCATGAACCTAAACTAAAATTTAACATCCTCAACACTTAACGTAACATACATAAAGGATTGCAAACTCTTTTTTATCTCATTACACTTTTCTGATCATTTTCTCAAAAATTTAAAAAAAAAAAATTCTATCGAATAAAACCACACAAACCTCCTCCTGGGCGATAATACAAATATCCCGAGAGACTATGCCACCCTGCCATCTAGTGACAGAATTCCATATGGTGCCATCTATGGTGTAAATGTAGGAAAGTACGTGTTGCCATCTGGTGAGTAAATGCTGTTCACACTGCTGCCATCAAAGGAGTAAATATATTATTCACTGAGCTGTTATCTTGATGCCCAATTCCCTGCGATTTATGATGCCATTTGGGGATTATAGCTGCAATAACAACTATGCTGCCATCTACAGGGAAAACACATTGTTCTCTGCTGCCATCTGGTGGTTGGTCATAAAAGAATGTTAATACTCCTCTCTCATGAAAATGAATTATCTTCAATGCTGTGGATGAGTCGGTTTCCTTCGTTTTAAATAATCTTCAAGGTTCTATCTGAAATACAGACAAAAAAGGTTATTACAAATAACACAGTTCCTTGCAAATGTTTAATATGTCTGACAACATCAGCTTTCCATGATAACTGATACTTTAAAAGATCCTGGAAACATGCACATACAAGACATTAGATGGTATTTTAGGCTTGCACAGTTCTGTTTAACCTACCCGTCCATATTGCATATTGAAAAAAAAGAGAAAAAAGAGTATAGATCTTACAGAATCTATGGTGGAAATGCCCTTTGCAGTTTGCAAAATGTTAGAAGTCTTAGCATATTAAATCTACCACCTATAGCCCAGCTAGGCTGCACCACAGGTAAACACAAAGTCCTCCAATGAAATCAGCATACCTTAAGCTTGCAAACCAAATGTTCAGACATCTAACAGACAACATAAATAAATAAGGCCCTTAATCTTAACGTAAACACTTCTTAATCATGTCAGTCACCTCCAGAATGCCATTACATACTTCACTGTGATTTTTACCTTATATCTTATTGATATTCTTATATCCCTAATTGCCCTGTCATAATTAAGACCTTGGTATCATGCACATGTCTTCACTTACAGTATGTGTACATGTGAGTTTTATTCCTTATAACAGAGGTGTTTGTGCATGCATGCATGCATGATCGTGCGACAAATATTCAATCTTTCAATTTTTTTTGCCAACAAAATATCAAAATATCAATGTTCTAACAGACTGCTATCAAATTTTCATGCTATGTTTATCTAGAATTAGCAGTAAAGTGCAGCTACAATGCTGGTAGAGATATTCATACAGAAACAGTACCTCATGTTATCAGGCAACATGTGATTCCAGGTTCCACTTTCAATGAGCCACAAATACTTTAGGAATATCTACATATAAGTTGAACTGCAGACACCATGAAACTAGAAGTCCTACTATAGAGTATTGAGTTCTGTTGGTCATGTGGAACCCCCAACAACTTAATTTGTTAGAGATATTATTACATCTCTGTTTTCAAGCGGGCCATACATCTAGTCTTCACATCAAAATGACATAAACATGTAGAGTAAAATTTAAAAAATGAAAAATTCAACAATGTTTTCTTGTTGTTGTTGGGGGGGGGGGGGGGGGGGGGGTAGTACTCGAGTTCTCAGGCATGAATTNGGGGATGGGTGGGTGGGGGGTGGGGGGAGGGGGGGGAAGGGGGGGGGGGGGTTAATGAGGTATAAGTTATGCTGATAACTGAAAGCAGGTTGCAACCCTGCTTTTCTTTGCCAAGTTCACCTGTCATTCCAAACAAGTGCTCACATATATCAGATTTCTAAGCTGCATAAACATAAAACAGGACTAAAAAACATTAATACAAAACCCTCCAGTGATTAATAGTTAGTTAATGTTCTTTAATAGACACTTGTATGTCAAAACTTGTGCAACCAATGTCTAACTCAAGTGGGGTACGAACTCCATCTCTTATCACATGAGCACCTATCCCAGGTGAATGTTACCGAGTCAAGGTCACCAGGTAAAACGTAAACATGGGGTATTGGTGTTTCTATTTGTTGTATTTGGTTCTTGTTCACCAAAGTATCTGCCAAACTACCGACCCAACTAGCTTTGAGAACCTGACAAAAACAATTGATAAGTATGCAAAAGAGGTGCTGGCTTGTAATGGGTCTGAAGTGGTCTCCCTCGCCCTTACCGTGGTCAAAAATGGTACAACAGTACTGGCCAAGTCGTATGGTTATGCAGACTATGTGAAGAAGATAAAGGCCACTGATGAGACCAAGTTCTGTATTGCGTCTTGCTCCAAGGCTTTCACAACAACTCTACTCGCAAAACTCTTAGATCGAAACAAAAGGTAAATATATCCATGTAAATTAATTACGCAAAAAAATACACCCGGTCAATGCTAATGAACGACAACCTGATAAGCTGCTTAAGAGAATATAACCAAAACCATACCTTGAAAGGAGGGATAAATTTAAGTTTTTGTATTTGAACACTGACTGTGTTCAACACATGCTATCCACTGACCTTAAATAGCCCTTTACACTCTGTTCATGTTTGCTCACTGAACCTTTAAAAAGGTCTTTTCTCTTATCAAGTAGTAAAGGTCCTACAGCATTACCCAATGTCCACTGTATCTGTATCTGTATCCATTACATGTATATTTAGTGAGATTAAATGTATAAATATGAAATAAACCAATTCTTCAAGTTACACTTGTTCTCATGTACTGGTATCTCACAGACCAGTAAATTGTGTACTACATGTACTTCTTAATACTAGAGTACAAGTGATGTGCTTGATACCCATGCTAACCACAACTTAATGTCCACTCCAGCCATACATTTGACTCCAAGGTGAAGGACATCTTGCCAGACCTGTTGCTAGGTGACAACTACACCACATACCATGTCACCATACGAGACTTGGTGTCTCATCGGACGGGTATGAGCAGACACGACTTTGCCTGGGTACTAGGTGGACTTACCAGGGACACTTTCTTCAGGTGAGTAATAGTAATTATAAGTACAAAATCAAAACTGCTTAGCACTCAAATTTGTTCTTTTTTTTTTCAATTTGACATCAAAAACTGACATATTTTTCAATGATTATGGTACATAATTTTTACATGTTAGAGTTACATTTTACATCTTGCATTAGAAAGGCATCAAACACTGAATCAGCTGCGCAGTTGTACTATAAATGGAACAGCATATATAAGCTTGGTGCTTTGACATTTACTTTCAAGACATGAATGGCGTGATTGCACATACACTGTATATGAATTCAGTTATCCAAAGACAACATGTAATGCACTTTCATTTTTACTTTTAAGACATATACAATACATGAATGCCACATACGGCTTCCGCGACCAGGTCATCTACAACAACTGGATGTATGGAATAGCTAGCCGTGTGGCTGAGGCACTGGGAGGGAAACCATTCCAAGTGTTGCTGCAGGAAGAAATCCTGGACCCCCTGGATATGAAACGGACAACCCAAATCTATGACCTGAAGCCAGAGGGGAAGGACTATGCCAAGTTTTATTATGTGACTGATGAGGGACCCAAGGAGGTTGATGTCCAATTGTATAGGTAAAAACGAGAGAGAGAGAGAGAGAGAGAGAGAGAGAGAGAGAGAGAGAGAG